ATCGCGATGCTCCACATAGCCCTCTGCATTGCGGCGGGCAATGTGACACACCTAGCATCAAACGACCTCTTTGCTTTGGTCTTTCCCCTCCTTCCGTCTTTCTCGTTTCTTTTTCTCCGCACGCATGTCAAGCCCAACAGCGACATGTGTGACCCATTGGTGAAAGCTTGGGCCAGCAAGAAAACCCGGACCTGTGCAGATGTGGACGAGTATTGGGAACGCGCTGGTGCCGTAGTCAAGAGTTTGTCTTAGAAATCAACCGAACCGCATGCTCCTAGGACTGATTAAGCCAATTCCTGAGGCCCCTCAATTGACGCAGCAAAAGGAAGTGAGTGCTAGCCAAGAATCTAGGAACTTCCGTGGTAGGCGCTGTAACCGATAATTTCATCTTGATGTTGTCAACAAAAAGCACAGCTTCTTTTTCTTTTCCTCACACTCTTCGATCAACACAGTTCAACCCCCCTTGAAACAACACATTGGGAACCTGCAGCGGCACCGATTTACAGGCGGCCCCGGCTGCGGCCGCAGACGCTGAGCAGCGCGGTTGCGGACCTGTCGCCGCTGCCGACGCGGAGGGCGCTGACGGTGGTCGCCGCAAACGCGGCCGCCGCCCTCTTGTTGCTGCCACCTGAGGCACTTCTCCCCACGTCAATGGCCTTTCCAGCCCGCCAGCGTCCGCACTGGTCAGGCTCACTGCAGCCCATGCGCAGCAAAGCCCGAGACTGACGCACAACGTGCGCTCCGAGCAACAGCACCCCAGCTCCAGGATTCCGAACGTGAAATTTCGGTCCAAGACGGCTAAACGGGCACACATGCCCCAAATTGAAATGACGCACGCTCACCCAAAGCCTGCCGGGCTCAAAGCACGTCGAGAAAGCAAGCTCCCTGACAGAAGCCCAGGGAAGAACTTGCACAAGAAGCACGCGCGTGCGGCGATAGAGAGAAAAAGACAGGGAGAAAGAGAAAGAGAGAAAGAGAGGAAGACAAAGAGATGAAGAGACTGATGTTTAAAATGCAACATCATGAATGTGTGCGTGTGTGTGTAAAACTCTTGGCCGGCTTCTGGTTTGTGGGGACATTCCACGTCAAGTTGGGCATGCAAAACAACATGCATTGTGTACCGTGCTTTCTTGTGATAAGCCCTTGCGCATTGTGAAGCATATTTTTCATGTTTTGACACGCGCGATATCCCGACCGCAGCGAGGCATTGCTGAGGCAGTTGTTCCCTGCAGCAGCCTAGCCACCAGAATCCAGCCTACTCCGCAAGAGACTCCTACTGGATGCTGTTCCCAGTCGCTTTCGCACAACGTGACGCGCAAACGCCGCCCTCCGACGGCCCCAGCTGGGCTCCGGCGCTTGCAGGTCGACTCCGGCGCCCCAGCTCGGTCATGCGGCAGTCTTGCTCTCCATTTGTCCGGCGCCCCCAGCCAGACACCGGCACCGTCGTGGCGGTGTTGTTCCCAGTGCTTAGCGTTTTCAAGGTGTCCGTGACGTGCAAATGGCATCGCACCCGGCTCGGTGGCAATCTTGCTGTTCCTGCTGCTTTCTTCGGGCACTCGTGGCGCTCTCGGCCAATGCGGCAGCCGTGATGTGGAAATTCCAGTCTTTCATGTGGGGGTCTTGCTCTCCATGCTTGGCTTTCACACAAGACTTCAAGGCAACTAAAGCATGGTGTGTACCTCAAAGCCAGCCACAAGCGGACTGGCCGAGGCGGGCAACACAAAGCGTTTACAATAAATTGTTTTGGTAAAGTTTAACAAACATAATCTAGTTGGAAGTTCAACTATAACTGAAGTAAAATATTGTTCCTGTCTCAAAATAATATGTTGCAATTAATCTGGAGTTTGCATTGCAAGTGAATAGCAATGGAACCTTCTCATGAGTCCTATCCTAGAAAAGAGTGGGCTTGATCTACATTTACAGGAGCAGAACACAGCCAGGAATTGTATGCAATGACCTGCAGGTGAACAAAGCTCCTTGCAAGGCTCCTTATGCTAAATAAGACTCTGATGAGGACTATTAGAATTTGAGCAGAATAAGAAGAACGCCTGAGAAGTTGTTCTGTTTGAATGACGGGTGAAAAACGCAAACGCTTTCTAAATATGACTTTGGTTGTATAATAATTCAGGCAGATAAGATGATTTCCTTTCGAGTTATGGTCAAATAAGATTGAAATGGGATTTTAGTAGAAGTGGGCCAGCAAGAGGCACTTGTTTCTTGTAGATGTGACATAGCACGGACAAAGGTGACACAGTGGGACGTACAAGCTATGTGTGCTTGCAAATGGTACAAATGACGCAAACAAGGTAGATCATGCAGGGGGATACTTATTTCAGCAGCAGTACTTCATGTCATGCTATGCGCATCATACCAAATAGATGATGCTCGTCAACCACACACAACAACCCAATTGGCACCAGGGGCCCGGTCACCTTGCAGGAACATGGCCCAAATCAGCAGCCGAAACGTGGAAGTGTTGCATGTCAAGGTTCACGGCTTTCGCTTCCCTGAGCTTTGGGGCGGCGCTCTTGCAAGCTGAGCTCTTGTTGCGGAAGCCTTGAGGGGAGGGGGTTGCCTGCGCCTTTCGCATCACTGCTTCCGCGCAGCTACCAACTCCATGTTTTTGTTTGGGGGCCAGCCCTGGCCCGCCCGCGTTAGAAGAGCGCGCAGTGCGAAGCTCATGCCATGCTAGTCTGGAAACTCGAAACATTTAGCTCAACTATATTTAACATAAAAATCAGTAATCTAATATTTAAGCAAATAAACCACATGCATGCGTTCCAACTTTAAACAGCAACTATACTAACCAACCACACGGATAAATCAAAATGGGTTTGTTATCAACTACTTCTATCATTGCAGCTCACCAAGTTCAAACATTATGAACAACGCGCACAATACCATATGGATCTCTCGCGCTATCAAACATGATATGTATGATATATGCGTATTTGTATTTTGCATTGTAATAGTAATAGCTACTCCAAATACTTTTCTATATTCAGTGCACCCTCAGACATACGCTAGGGCATACTCTTAGCCGCTGGAGCTTCCCTTTTCCTTCCTCCTTTTCTGTCTCAACCAGCTGGTACGATTCACAGCGTAGTTCAAAACCTGTGTCACCTGCGTTCGACCAGGCAGTTCGCTAATTACTGCCTTGGGGGGGCTAACCCCTATGCAGATTCACATCTGCATGGTGGCGCACAAACTATTCCACGCGCAAATTGGCGTGGTTGAGTAATGATGGACTAAACACCAAAGCCTGCCAGACCCGCTTCAGCAATACATTCTATGTTCAGACATACGCTACGGCACACTCTTAATCCTGCGGAGCTTCCCTTTTCCTTCCTCCTTTTCTATCTCTACCGGTTGGTACCATTCACATTGTGGTTCAACACCTGTGTCGCCGCGCGCCACACCATCTGCTGTTGCGATTTCCAGGATGCTGGATCCACTTCGTGAACTACGATCCGAGTTCTGGCTCTGGCGGACCGACACCGGGGCAGGTACGAGGCTGGTGGCTTCACGCTGCAGGGGCATGAGCCTGGCGCAAGCAGGATGGCCGTTGCGACAAAGATCTAACCTACGCGTTTCAACGCATCGAGGATGCGCAGATTGCGGGAGGAGACCGTGTCAAGGCAAAACCATCCTAAACCCCCGACCGAGGAAATAGGGGTTGATCGCCCGCCACGCAGCGCAGCAGTGACTCAGTGGCGGAGAACTTGGTCAAGTGAAGCACACCCACTCTCGTCTGTGGAGCACTTCGACATCAACAGCCACGAGGGCACGCCAGCTCGGCGGGGCGCCCGGCCCTGCAGGTGGAGCCCCCCAACGCTAGACGAAGCTGTCCAAGAGCAGGCAGATGCGCAATACGCATCAAGGGTACAAGGGATGGCTTCTGCTGGACCATCCCAGCCTGCCCTTCCATCGTGCGGGCTTGACCCGGCCAAGCGAATCAAAGCAGCGCTGGACAAGGCCTGGACCACGATTTGCATTTTCGGGGCTTCGTTGAGGCCAAACAACAAGCTCGTTTGACAGCGGGCTGGCAGCAAAGGTGGATGCCGCGGCTAGCTTCCGAGAGCAAGGCGTCTTTTGACGTGTTGGATGTGCAGGGTCAGCAGCCGTCAAACAGCGGCAGCATGTGGGCAGCCCCGGATGAGGCTCTAGAGTTGCCCACATAGAGACGTTCATCGCCAAGATCTGGGCAGGATTTACGATGTGTGGACGTGGCGCCAGGCCAGCTGAGTTTGTGCCAGAATGGGGTGTGGTATGTAGATAAGACCACAGCGGCGACAGTCCCACATTGCTGAAAGGACGTTCACGTTGTCCGCTCGATGAACCGCGGTCCCCGAACTCACGCTCGCCGCCACCATGCGGGCATCCAACTCGGCCAGGTCAGCTGCTGCAACCCGCGAGGCGCTGCCATGATAGATTTCCCAAGCTCCTGCGGGCACAAGCGCCTCTTTACGGCACCACAACCCCACCCAGGCGAACTGGAAACCTCCCCGAAGCCTGTTACACCTAAGGCCGTCTTCCGTAATGCGTGGGATCCATCGCATCTGCGGGAACTCCTGAAACCCAGGCAGGGGTTCGCCATAAAATTCCCCAGCATGACGCAGCTCTCCACAGCGCCCGCTCCTGGGTGGTCTCTTGAGCACAGAGTGCTCGACACACGCCACATGAGTACCTGCTATACAGGTCACTCGTGCATAACAAAGTATAGTAGAAGCCACTAAAAACCGGCCCAATTTCTAGGAGAAGCCGGTCAAATTCCCCCCTAAAAATCAAACCAGGCAATTTTCGGTCAACTCCCTTGAGCCAAAATTGGAGTGGTTGGCACTGACATTAGTAATGATTGACTGACCACCCAGGCCTGCTAGACCTGACTCAGTAATTTACAACACAGTTAATAATTATTGAATAATTTCTATGATAATAGTTTCTTCTGTATCTTCCGAAAGCCGATTGTCGCAGCATATTGCAAAATCAAATCTATATTTTCTCACATTCATGATCCGTGCTTCGACAATTCCGCTTGAATGGTGCCGGATCGATCAATGGCGCTTTGAAGCTCTGGATTGTCCCTGGCACGCATCGATTGCGAATCACAAAGGACCTCCCTTTTGCGCAGTCTGCGTTTAAAGGGAAACATCTCTAACAACAACAGAAAAAAAAGGTTACTGGCGGTTGGGGACTACATACTTCAATTCAAAGCTGATAAAAATATGCTGGCTCTTCTTGCTCCACTTGGAACAAGGAGGGATGAAGCTAGGCCGCCCCGAGCTGCAACATGATTTCGGGCATACGAACAAAATGCGCCCCCCGAGTGTCCCCCACTTGCAACACGAGAACCGAAAAACAAAAAGGCACATGTCTGGCTTGGACACCCAGAGAACCGATAAAAAAGAAGGCACAAGAAGAGCGACCATGGCTGTTGCATGCAAATCTCCATGCGCTGTGGCCGCAGCGAGAATTCCTGGCTTGGTTTTGCAATGAGAAGCTATGCAGGGGCTTCACTCACCCGTCAAGCCATGCTGCGGGAAGGAAGTCAGAAAGGGACCCTTGGTCATTCCCCCAGTCTTTGCTGAGCACCAGCAAGTTTGGCGCAGCGCCAAAGGCGCCCTATACCCCGAGAAAGAGAAAAGTTTCATGAAATGATGTCGTTTGCTACTTCGTTCATGCGTCAAAGTTTGTTCGTTGATTTGTTCATTCATTCACTTGCGAGCCTGTTTGTTTGTTGCTTCATTCATGAATTTGTTTGTTCGTTGCATGGTTTATAGGGGTCATTTCCATGTCTCAAGTGAAACAGCGCCCGAAATGGCGATGACCCCCCCCCCCAAGTTGGCCTTGCGAGTGCCCAAAGCGCCCCAGCAGCGATCTCTCTCATGCGCGGCGCCTGTCTTGAGATAGGTCGCGCGATGTCGTGCGTATCGAAGGCTTAACCCACGTGCCGACGTTGATGTTACCAGAAAGTAACAACCCGGGTTGAAAGAAATAACACTGTGTAAGCACAACAGTCTATGTGCGATGATCACATTCCAACAGTTGCAAGGGCGAACACATACTCCTATTATATGCAAGTCAACATTGAAACTTACAATACATCCCCAACAAAAGGGGTTTACATGCAGGAAAAATTGATCAATTTTAAATCTTGGGTCTCGGCATATTGACTTGCATCGATTTTGTCTCTGATCTTTTCTGTTTGCTCAGTAACGGACTTGGGCTGCCTTTGAAACGGGGGGGGAACCAAAACGGGCATTTTGACCACGCCCCCGATCGCCCCGTGCACAGCACCTGCAACTAGAATCTTGCGTGGCTACCTTAAAAAGCCATGTGCCCATCGTACAAGCCTGGAATTTCCAAATCATTGAAGTTTTACCCCAAATCCGGGGACTACCCCAGTTTTTTTGTAGGCTCTCAGTGCAAAAAAACACTGAGGACCCAGGAGAGTCTTGAAGCTCATTCCAAATGCTTCCCCTTGTGGCGGCCTCCGGTGAAGTATCATTCTCCGCCGAACTTTGGGGGGCCCGAACTCATCGAAACAGATCGACCGACCGAACCCGGTTCTTTTTGTTGAAAAGTCAGCGGAATCATTTGGATCGCTCAATTTTCCCAAAAAATGCAAAAACAATAAACACCTCGTTGCAGAAGAGAAGCCTCAACTCTCCAACTAATATTGACCCCATGTTAATGAACCCAGTTTGCTAAATTCGGGGGGGGGTGCTTCTTGGGTGAAATGTGGTCGGAATCAGAGCACTTATGGAGGGACCCACCAAAAACAGGCGAACAGGCCGGCTCCTTGACCCTTTTCGGAGCCGGAGCGTGCAAGCGATATGCCCAAGCGAGTTGGTTTCGGAAAAACAAAAATTAGGTTGAAGAAAGATTTGTCGAAGGTAAGCTAGGTCCTCCAGTAGAGAGATTAGAATAAGGGTGCCGTTTTTTTCGGTAGTCTAGTTTGGTAGGGGAAGCCTCCCGCAAAAAAGGGTAAAAGGGCACTACTGGGGGACCTAGTACGGGGTTAACCCGAAGGGCGGTTAAAGAAACCGAGTTCTATTGCAGATTCTTCAGTTGGAAATGTTGCCAACTCCATTCTAGAAGTTTGAGTATGTGCTCGCCCACTGCCCACGCTTGCTCCAAGTACCGCATGTGGCAGATACAACGACAGATTACGTTCTCGTCATGGCTGCTGAGTCAGCCAGAATCTGCGTGATAGTATAGTCCCCCCTGTGGCCCCATCGAGAGAATAGTCAAACTCCTGGTGAATGGTCATGAGCACATCCTTTGCAACTGAAGCTCTCTTTGATACTTGCGGTCTTTCCAACAATGGAAGCGGACTGCCGGCTCATGAGAAGTATAGTCTTTTCAGACCCATTCAAAGAGCTGTCATGATAGTGGCAGTACATTTGCACAGTTCTGCAATTCTGCGCACCCCTGCAGAAGAAAGAACAAATACCTACACGTGAATGCGCCCGGAACTGAATGCGCCCGGGCACCTTCAAATGGTGTTTCCCCCGCCTCCCCTTTCAGCAACGCCACCAGCGGCTCCAGCGCACCCGCCTGGACATGAAGATCTGGGCAAAAAACGGAACCAACCGAATCCATTTGCTGACTTTGATGACCAGAAACAAAGAAAATCATGATCCAGTTGCACGCTTCGATGCACGTTGTTGGAACACGATTCGTACATGCACGTTGAGGCCTTAGAGCCGACTTGGTGCACCAGTTTCAAAAACCATGTCTAGCGAGACACGAGCGTCTCAATTCCATTCGTGGGTCCTTGAAGTCCTTGTCACAAGCCTAATGAAACGAATAGAATCCGATGCTTTTAGATAAGTTCGTCAGCATAGGTGGCCTTTTGGCAAAATAGATGGCCCTAACAAATCGAATAAAACCCATCTAAACCAGTGGAACCCATCTATCGTTTAGCCAAACTAACCGATCAAAAGGACAGCTATTGGTCAGTGGCGTTTTTCTCGAGCTAGTGACCCAAACTCAGCACGGAACTCCGCACGGCCTGTTTTGTAGTTGCTTTACATGCGAGTAACACACAGTAGCATTCCAAGTCTGAGGTCTTGGCTCCAAAATGCGAAGCCGGACAATCATCGAGCTTTCCCTGGCCCTTTTAGACACCCCAAAGTATGCCCCTTCCAGGCAAATTCAAGGCCTTGCTCCCTAAATCTCATTTCTGTTGGATGCTTCAGCTGCTCTGCTGGGCCACCCCTCTCCAGCTCCCCTTCATCATCGGGCTGGGCTAAGCAGGCTTACGATTTGACACGTGCACTTGCGCAAAGAGCACGAGCCACGATGGTGTTTTTTTGTCGGGGAGGGGCAAAACCCAAAGCCGTCAGGGTGAAACTCCGGTTCGTAAAAAGGAACTCCCGGGGTTCAGTTGCCACCATGAAAACAACACCATTGTGTACCTAAGAATTGTCATCTAAATTGGGCCAACCATTATTTTAACCATTCTTTTAACGGGGGTTGAACCCCAGCGGGGCATTTCCAGGCATGGGGTCCTTACCCTGATAAATGGTAAGCGGTTAGCAAGACAGGCGTCTCTTTTGTTAAGAGGACCCCCCCCCCCACCGGAAAAAGAGAAAACAAAGAATAATAATAATAATTAAAAAAAAACAAAAAAAAAAAACGCACACACACACACACACAAGAAAGAACGCGTTTTCCATTTGGTCGGGGAATCGGAGCTGTCCATGCCCCGCTTCAGTGACCCGAACCGGTAAAGACTTGACACCTTTCGGCCATGAAGTGGGAACCCATCCACAGGGACTTGGGTGGAGACTGAAAGAACGGGGGTCATTGAACACTGGTCCTCAAATGCCGGAAACAAGGCATCCTTTTTTGGTTGGTGAAACAAGTTGGCGGAATCCAGTGGGCAACAGAGAGTCTGGAAAAACTGACTTTGGTTGTTGTTTTCCTTCGCCCCTCTTGGCCTTTGGGGGCAAACTACCCCAAATGGCCATACCCCACCTGTAGGCCTTATACAGAGATGTTTTGGGGGTAACCTGTAAAACCCATCTAGAGCTACGTTGGGGTATGTCCATTTGGAGTATGCAAGTTGGCACATGGAAATGAGCCTATCACAGAGAACTGAAACAGGGCTGCGGGAAATAACCGCTTATGTGATACAACAGAAAAAAACAACTCCCCAAAGACTAAGCTCCCACCATACAAACGGGACAATTCCCACAAGTGTCACAGAAGGCGTTGGATAAACCCGAGTGATTTCGCAACCCTACGGAACTTTCCAACTTGGCCATTGCCTCCACAATCAGCTGCTGGGTCTTGGCGTTGCCAGCGGCCTCCGGTGGGAGGGATTTCCGAAGCCTTTAGAGGGAAAGGTGTCGACCAAAGTAGCCCAAGTGGAACCCATCTCTTTGCGGTTTCCACAAAGAATAAGTCGTAAGGGGTCGGGGGTGAGGGTGGGGGGGGGTGGAGTGTGGGGGGGCTGGGGTGGGGGTAGGAGTGGATGTGCCGAGAGTTACTTCTTCCATTTTGTGACAGAAATACCCAACGCGCCGTTTGGACATAGCTCAAAAGTGGCAGCCTCATTCAAGGGCTTACCCTCATGCTTCCTTCCAAAAAACGCACAGCCGGTTGAGCCAACCACCAGCCAAAAGCTGACGGACCTTTCATTTGCATCGCCCCTAAAGAACATAGCGCTTGCCTAGTTGAAGAAGGCTATCGCGCCACGATGACGTTGGGCTTGTGTTACGCGTTACTATTGCAGACTTCCCCGAACAGCGGAAAACAAAACCCTCCAACATATCCTCCCTCATGCATTAGCCGCGCGAGAGGCTCCTGGCTACCGCCCTCAAACATGCGAGAGAGATGCATTTCTTTCGCCGGGAACGGCTTCCTTGTCGATGGGCATGCGGCCTTGGTTGAGATACAGCCGGCGAGCGTTCACAGTTGCAGGCAGCGACTTTTTCCTTCCAACCCAGACAATGACGTTCAGCAAGTTGGGAATTCGGGCATGTTTCCTATATACATATATATATATATATAATATAACATCCCTAGGGTGCGAGCCGTTGGTTCAGAAACTCGACATTCTGCAATCGATCCTGTCCCAGGCATTACACTTGACCCAACATTTCCTCCTCCCCCTGTTTCGAGAGGTTTCATCCGAAACGGAGACCCCGTTCCAAGGCCGGCGCAAGGTTGTGAATGGCACCAGCGGCCTCCACCTGAAGACCAAAAAAATGGAGAAACAACAACTGCACGCATCTTGCGAAAGCTCCTTGGTCGCTGTCCCTTTTCAGAACCCCCCAGATCCCCAGCCAAAAATACCTCCAATGATCCCCAAGCGAAAAGAACGCCGAAATCGGGGGGGTTAAACAGAAACTAATTACCACTACACACTAGAAAGACCAAAAACAAAAACTCAGGGTATGGCAGGGATCCTTAAAAAGCTGCAGTTCGATGAGTTGGTAGATGCCTCAACATCCCCGTATTGACTTAGTCGCTCTCAGTGGGAATCGCAGCATCTCTCACCATGTACATTGGCCGAACTCCAGCGCGTTTCTCAACATTCGGGATTCCTCCAGGTGGCTGGTTTTACCCCCCCCCCCCGCGAAAAACGGCTTTCTGTTTTGAGACTCACGCGAATGGTCTCCGAACGCTCAACACGCAGTGACAACTGGCAGGTCATTGAACAGCGCCTCATTAAACATCTTGCTTGAGGATCCCATGGAGAGTGCACTTGTGATCACCTTGGCACTGGATGCGTAGTGCAATGATTCAGTACACCAAATGTTCTATTCACTTGGGCTTGAGAGGTCAACGATAGCCAGGTCCTTTGAAGTGAGCGGATTCTCCCGCCTGCCGCTAGAACACTTTCGTGGAACGAACCCCTTACCGTAGGTCTGGTGTGTGAAAAGTCTTTCCCGAAAAAAATGGGTTGCCAGAATTTCCCCGTTCCCCAATTCCACTTCTACGGGGATCATGGAAGTGGCCAGGTTTCCAAAGAGGCACGTGCCAATGTTCTCCCACGTTTCGTGAAGAGAGGCCGATGGGGAAATGTTCGTCTTACAATAGGGAAAACCCAAAAATGGTTTCGGGGTTCCTTTTGGTTTTCCATTAAAACCACCGAACAAAAAGGGTAGCCTCGAAAAACACGCGCACACACACACACACGTGTAGCGTTTGGGGAGGGTCAGTGGCTGTATTGACGCCTCCTGGAACTGGTGGCTAGGGCTGGACCAGTGGACACATGTGGGCCGTGTTGAAACATCTCTTCAATTTCCATGGATGAAGGGTCCCATCTCGCGCCGGAATATCTTGGCCCCAAAGTCAAGAATTGCCTGACGCCCCGCACCCAATTTCAATGAGCAGCTCACCCACACACCATGCCTTTGAGCTCACCCACACACACACACCATGCCGTTGAAGATACACCAAAGTCAAAGAATGGGAAAGCCCGTCCTGGGAGTTTGTGTTGGGACCATCTTCTCTGCATAAACTGCAAGACCCTTGAACAGGGATTTGTAGCTACCGTCCATGCAAAACTGCCACCCCAAAAGTGCCCCCAAACAACTCGAAACCGTTGTAAATATTAGAATGGGATTGTGGAGTAGCGTTTAGCCAATCCGCATGATCATGGGATACTCAGGTATCCAACTTTTTCGCCCCTAAAAAATCATCAACTGTTGGTGTCTAGGAACCCATGTAGCCACCATCAGCTTGCCCCAAATTATTTGGGCGTGTCTCAAACTAGGGGATGATCACAGCCCCCCCCCCCAAACAAAATAAAACAGACTGTCGTTTGGCTTCTCTTTAAAACATGGGTTCACCTTCAAAACATCCGTTTAACACTTCATAACACTTCAAAACTTTGGCCCCCCCGGTAAAACTCTACACAAAAAACAAAAATAAACACGGGCGCCCCCAAGAAAGACGCCATTGGCCGCCTCCAAACTCGCATGGCTCGCCGGCTCGGCGCCTGCGTTTGGGAGGAGTGCGGGTCTCTCAGCAGCCGGACCAAGCTGGGCAGCGCCTCCCGGCAGATCGCCTCCTGCGAGAGACCCGGCGGGTGGGCTTCTCTGGGTATGGGTCAAAATAAACCCATGGGCCGCAGGTTTTTTGGATCCGTACATGACAACACAGGAACATTGCCTGGTAAATGGTGGGAAACCCTTTATTTTGGTGTTGAAAAAGCAACATGTTTCAAGTGGATGCCAAATGTATCTATTAAGGAGCCCTGAGAAATAAGGAGACAAAACACACCCGGCGGGCGGAGATGTGAAGTCTCGGAGTCTCCTCCGGACCCTTGAATGGCTGGTCATGACCCAAAAGAAAGGGCTTACCCCATGTTTAAACTCCACGAGCCTAATAAAAATGGTTGGTCGTGGCCCAAAAGAAAGGGTTCAATACCACCATTTTTGAAGGGTCAGAAGGAGACTCCAGGTATTGGTGGTTTGGAGCGAGCCGAATCGGTGGTGTGGGGGTGAACTGGAGGGGCAAATGCCGCAAATGCCTCGACAACAGCCGGGGGGTTCAGATCCGAATCCAAACCACCAATCCACCACCAAATAAGGGTTGCCTGAGTTTAATATGCATATATTTTTATATATATTACACCAGCATAGACCCCAAATGGCGAAAACACATACAAAAAAACAGATGATTGCAATCAAACGTTAGGACCCCTAAAGCTTTCTGCTATCTGGGGAATAAATCAATCAATCAATCAATCAAATAATATGTCAAGTTGAACACAAGTAAAAACGCCTATATGCACACCTATATATATACATATACATGTGGATGTAAGGCCCATAAGAGTTCCAGCTGCAAGCGCATTTTCCAGTTTGATGCTGATGTCGGCATCGTGCCAGCGGGGGATGGGGGAATGATAACATTCGGAGGGACGCGCGCGCGCGTACGCGCTCGCTTGCTGCCGCCCTCTCGCCGTCTTGCCTTCGCCTCAGGGGTGCTCATGCGCGCACATACGCACATGCGGCGCACAGGGTTGCGAAGGTAAGGTTAACTTGGACTTCTGGCGATACCTTGCCGCTGTTGCTATAGGAAGACATACAACCACGAAACAACATTTCCAGCAAGAATCGGGGTTCAAATTCAAACCACCAACTAAACCCGGGCTGCCCTCAGATCTGCTAAAAGTGAATAACTTTCAGTTGGGTATCACACAATAACCAACTAAAAAAGAAGCCGAGCCACCTCTCTTTTGGACCCGATGGCCGGCGCTTGCCACCTAACGGGTATACCCCTAGGTGTCCCCCAAGACAAGCATTTTCTCGCCCCAACAAAAACCTCAAGCGAACCACGCGGCAGGCAACGCCTGGTACTCCAACGTGCTCCTCATTTTTCTCGCCCCAAAAACATCCCAAAACCCCCAACGAACCCCGCGGCACGCGGAAGGCGACCGCCTGGTTGTTGGCATTCTGCGCCGCCAGGTTCCGCAGCGCCCCCGCCGCCGTCTCCGCCACCTGGAAAGAAAAACCCAGCGGACGGACGTGTGACGTGTGTCCGTCCCTGGGGTTTTTGGGGGTCGGCCCAGTTGAAGGGGCGAGACTTTGCTTTGTGGGGTTCCTTTAAAACCACGGGAAAGAAAAGAAAAACACCCTGCATGATATGTGTTTGCTTCTGGCGTTCGTTAAACCCACAACATGGGGTACCCAGAAAAAAAGGAAGGCGCCTCCATATCTTGCGCCTTCTTTTTTGTGGATGCCCGGGCCCACCTCCTGGTCTCGCCATAAAGCTGGGATGGATGGGGACCCGGTCCCCAATTCCGTTCTTCTGGTCTGGGGAAAATGGGTTACGATAAATGGAGATCTGCACAAACCCTCCTCCCCCACTTCCACTTAAGGGGATGAAGGGTCGAGAACAAATCGGCAGAGCGATAGGCTCACCCTAACCAAAACCAAGTAGATCAACACCTACAAGGCTCGCAAAACCTGATTTTCCACTTTGTTCCCAGGACCTTCACCCATGTTTCACCCCCAGCTCGAAATATATGCAGAGCCGGCACATTCTTTCAGAAAAAGCTTTGCCGCCAGTGGAATTTCCTCAGAACCTTCCATGGCCCATCAAGCAAGGCAGTTGTTATGAGGATTCTAAGGTTTCATCCCCCATTCTCTTCACCCATTCTCGTCAGAAAACCGCCGATTTCCCGCCAAGTCTGGCCCATTTTGTGAGAATCCCTGAAGAGAGCGGGAACAGGAAAAACAGTCAAACGGAATAAACAAAGCCTTCCAAGAAACCTGCCGCACAAACTCCGCAAACTCGCGCCAATGGATGTGTCCCCAAGATGGGTGGTGTTGGAATGGGCGAAAGCCGGGTCTAGGGATTCCCTTCTGGGCTGTCAAATCCCCTGCTCAAAGTCTAACTTGTGGGTTGCATTCGGAAACCCTACCACTAAACCCAAAAAAAAAAGCCCTACCACTAGACCATCTATCTGTTCTAAGAAAAACAACTAATCATTAAAAACAAGAGGAAAACACACAAACAAAAACAAAAACTAAAGAACCGGATGAATCGCTGTGACCCCCCCCCCCGCCCGCCCCGCGAAGGCTTTTTCGCCCCCCCGCTCCGCCGCGCCGCGCCTGGCCCTTGGCGTCCAAGAGCAGCGCCGCCAGATGCGGCACCGCCCCCGCCTCTGCGATGGCCGCCTGGCGAACCGCGCGATCGATCCGCGCGGGCGGTTTGAAGTTTGAACCCACGGGGCGTGTCACTCTTTTCCTTTTTTTGGGGGACCTCCCTTTGGTGGGAAACTCCAGGGGTTCATTTTTTTAACATGAATAATTGGAAAACAATAATTTAACCATATGTATAACTAGATATAGGATTTATAAAGCATATGTTTAAATAGCTAAATTGAAATATATAGATAGATATACCCATGGGGCGTGTCACTCTTTTTTGAGGGACCCCCCTTTGGTGGTGGGAAACTCAAGGGGAAACCGCCAATTTTGAAGGTCCAAGTGGTTTTTGGGTGGGTTTGAAGGTGTGTATTTCTTTTGGGGGACCCCCATCTGAAACCGCCCACCAAAAAAGGTGTGTCTGTCTTTGGGGAACCCATTTGTTTCTAGAAGCACCTTCCCCATTCTTTCCAGGGATCCTTCTTTCTAGAAAACCTCCGGAAACCGAGGGAAAAGAACGATGGTTGAAAAGAATGGGGAATCAACCCCTAGATTGTTGGGCATCTGCAGCCTCCAGGTTTTGCTTAAGCCCTAGCATGGGTGAAGAACTATTCCAGGTAAGCAACAGCCAGGTATAGCTTTCTTTCAAGCTGCAGAAACATAACATGAACCTTGGGGCCACAACTGCAGTGTGCCATGATTTCAAACTGTTTGCAACATGTGGCTATGAATTTTTTTAGGGGTCTGTAACGCGCGACGCGCCAAGAATCTTGTTACGGACGTCTGTAACGGAGGTCCTTGTTACGCAGGTCTGTAACGGGACAAACATTTCCTGACAAGCAGTATCAGTAGCACAATGTAGCGCAGCACAACGAGGCAAAGCAAAGCGCAGGACGCAAAGCGCGCCTCCGCAGCTCCAGCTTGATTGCAGCTACTCAACGCAAGCCAAGCTGCGGCCAAAAGCGGGGTCGCTGGGCCGGGTTAGGGGGTTGGGTCTGTAACGAGGTCTGTAACGAGGCAAAGCGAAGCGCAGTACGCAAAGCGCGCCTCCGCAGCACCAGCTTGCTTGCAGCTATTCAACGCAAGCCAAGCTGCGGCAAAAAGCGGGGTCGCTGGCCCGGGCTGGGGTTGGGTCTGTAACGAGGTATGTAACGGCTATGTAACGAGGTCTGTAACGAGGCAAAGCGAAGCGCAGCGAAGCTCTATTCAACGCAAGCCAAGCTGCGGGGTCGCTGGCACGGGCTGGGGTTGGGTCTGTAACGAGGTGTGTAACGGCTATGTAACGACGTCTGTAACGAGGCAAAGCAAAGCACTTGATTGCAGCTACTCAACGCAAGCCAAGCTGCGGCAAAAAGAGGGCAGTCACGTCACTGGCCCGGTTTGTTCGGAGGTGTGTAACGAGGGCGTGTGTAGCAAGGGCGTGTGTAGCGAGGGTGTGTAACGAGGGTGTGTAACGAGGGTGTGTAATGAGGGGTGTGTAACGAGCCAGCTGGTTTTGTTACAGAGGTCTGTAACGAGGTCTGTAACGAATGTCCGCCGCGGCTCTGCTACAGACCCCTCAAAAAAAATCACTGCCATGTGAATTCATGTTGGTTTTACAGGGAAACCAAAGGGAAAACCGCCCATTTGGAAGGTCCAACCCTTAATGTTGACCCCAAAGCAACACCACACGAAGAACCGATGGGGTGTAGGGTTGAAAGGGAAAGCCAAGGAAAACCGCCGTTTTGGGGGTTGCGAGTCCTAAAAGAGACAAACACATAGGAAATGTTGGCTCTGCATAGGTAATGTTGACCCTATAGTCATCAACCCCAGTTTATGAATGTGTTCCCCTCAAGTGGTGTGATTCTAACCACTAAACCAGAAATGGACACTCCTCTATTTATAAACTCGGGTTGATTCATATAGGGTCAACGTTAGGGTTTAAAGGCAAGAGGAAAACCACCACCCCACCACTGTTTGTGTGGGTTGTTAGAAGATTCATCTTTTTGTAGGTTCCCACTTAGCATGAAAACAAGAAAGCATGCGTACATCTCGCATACAACATGTCGGTCCACGCGCGGGATGACTAGGCTGGAAGAAAACTCTGAAGTCAATTAGAAAACATGTCTATTTCCATACATGATTCATCGTAAATCCAAGAATCGGGAACAGCTCCTGTATGCTCCTTCGAACTTAGCTCCAAGAACGCTGTTCTCAGTTGCCCCTATCGGACTCAGGAATAAAAGGTAAACCTTTTGGATCTACTAAACATGCTGGCCAAAATGAATGGGGAAGGTCAAAAGGTCAAACCGTTGGCTTTGGAGAACTGAGAGTTGGAGTGTGTGTTTCGCTCTTAGCCTTGTTCTTTTTTTTGTTTTTTGTTGGGGGGGGGGGGGGGGCGGGTGGGTTGCCCCGTATTTCAAGACTCTGTTCGAAAGTCCGGTAAGCTTGGGCTGAGTCTCATGGCTCATCGCCGTCGAAAGGTCTCATAGCTCCCCTTCAAGCCACCCAGGTTACTGACTTGGACACCCCCAGTTTCTCACTTTGAGACCCCCGCACAAACAGTGAGACTTTCATGAGCCATCCCAGTTTCTGACTTTGCAACCCCCCAGAAACCGTGAAAAAACGTGAGCAGCGAACCCAACTCCGAAAGCGAACACGACGCCTGGTTCCCCGAGTTGGTCTCGTCGTTGAAGAAGACCAAGTTCCCAAGGGCGGCGGCAGCTTCCTCGCGCACCGAGGGCCTCGGGTTTCGACTCTCGACTCGGTTTCCGGCGAGCGGAACTTCGAACCGCGCGCCTGCCACACGTGGGGCGGGCGTGTGGTCGGCTTGGTTGGTTTAGGCTTGGTTTTGGTTGGTTTGGCTGGCGTTGTTGGGAAGCGGCTGAATTACATGGCTTGAATATGTGTATACGGCCCGTATGTTATATAGACTACTTTATATAAGGTGTGGAACAGAAGTCTGCCAAGCAACTTTTTGCGGAATTGCTGGTCAAAACAGAGCTTAGACTGACGGCCCCGTAGCAAAGTAAGGAGTAGAGTTATGACATCCAGTCAAGGGAGTCTGCGACACTTCCTGAGTGGATTAGTCAGGAAACAAAAACTTGCGGACCACCTGATGGTCTTCCCTTGGAGCCCCTTAGACCCTAAATATCAGGGCCTTTGACCCTCAAAGACCCTAAGCAAGTTCTCCCAAAAAGTACATAAATTGCAGAAACTTGGGAGTGAGCCACCGAACACTTGTGATGACTTTCTCTCAGTCACCAATCAGTTCGAGCGGCGCTTCGTCGCGTAGAAGCTTCACCAGGGGCCGAATCGCGCCGCCGTGGGCCACTGCAACCTGACGCTCGCAGGAGACACGCCACTTAGTGACACAGCCAGCCATGGGATCTTCGTGCTGGGAACGCTCAGAAGGGAATGAGGGAATGATGCCTATAAACGATCACTTGTTGTTTCCTTGACGGGGATTGCTGGATTCATTCCCGCATTCCCTACTGAGCACCAGCAAGAAAACCCCCTTTAGCTATCAGCCAAGACCAAGCTATTCCTGCCCTGGCCGCTTGGTTGCACGGTCCGCCGAAGCAAACCAGCCATTTTCGTCTTACACCAAAGACATATCCGGAAAGCACCCTGCAACCACATGTGGTTCACGGGAATAAACCATCATGGCCTTGGGAATGGACCACCCCGTACACTGACAGCCAGCCCGTCATGTGGACCCTCAAGCCCTTGCTTAAGAAGCACATATCTCAGTAGTTGCGGCACCCTGCATCTACTGCCATTCAAAACGTTGCTATCTGCATCCTTCTGCGCAAGAAGCAGACATGTAAGATAGATGTCACCAGTATCTGACCAACAAATTATTGCATAGATGTAAGATTCTTGACCACATCTAGATCGATGCTTGCTCCATTCGCTCCAATAGATGTAAGATTCTTGACCAAACGCAAGGTGGACGCTTCTCAGATGCCCAGTGGCCATGTGAAAAAACAAATTGGCTTCCTTTCTTCGTTGATGAGTTAAAAGGGGAGCCCTTCCCCAACAAAGTTGGAAAAATGGGCGGAATCCAGTTGGGCAACTGGGGCTTGCTTGGCATCGGGAATGCTTGCCATTGGGAATGCTTGGCATCGTCCATCCGGTCCCTCCCAGCCGTTTGCCGCCTGGTTGTCCGCGTTGTTGGTGACCAACATCCGCAGCGCCGAGGCGCCGGCTTCACGCCTTGGTTCGACGCCTTTAGCTGGGAGTACCCTCAGTCGGTCAAATCCATGGGGCTCCGATTCGTTGACCCCAACGTCAACTGCAACCAAGGAAAACCCAAGCAACCCAACGAAACCCTGGAAAGCCCAAGGAATCCAAGGAATCCAAGGAAACCCTGCAAAACCCCTGGGTTGGAGTCCACTCTGTTGTTGCGAGCGGCCCAAAATCTCTTCAAACAAGCCAAATCTTGAAGTCGTCGAACCACGGGCGGGGTTTTAATTTGATTTCGTTGGGGTCAACTTAAACGGTGAAATCCGAAACATACTTCTCTGGGTTTAAGCCAGCAAGAGAAATGGTTCATTCAGGAAAACTGCAGCCAGCCTGAACTTGGTTGCTTTCTGCTCCCCTGCAAAAAGCTTATTTATTTATTTTAAATTGGAAAGTCCTAACATCCCTTGGCAACAGTCCCAGCATCCCTTGGCAACATGCACCAAAGTGAAACTCAGGGGACCCAAGAATGGAACCTCCTTCCTCCCCGGGTCCTCCCCTCTCCTCGCCCGAGTTCTCAGCCCCTCTGGGGTGTCCGGGCACCTCCGCCGCGCCACTCTGCAGCAGCTGCACCAGTGGCTCCACGGCCCCCGCCTGCGAGATCATCACCTGGCAATGAGAAACCCGCCAGGATCCACTAAAAACCACTCAGTAGACCAAAAAGGGAAAACGGAAACAAACTTCCATGTAATTAAGGCCCTTCCATTTGCTTCTTTCGCCCTCCATTTACTTGCTTTGGATTGCTGGGAAGTGGATTTGGACTTGAATTTTGGGTTATTGTACAGGATAAATGGGAAACCTCCATTTGCTTAAGCCCCCTGGAAAAAATGAACAATCTGTCCAGTAGTGAAATCGATTCCTTTTAAAACCAGGTTTTTTTTTGCTTAAACAAATGGAAGGCAATCAGAAACCCGCAGTCAGCTCAACCCGTTGATTTGGGATGGGAAACCAAGTCCATGTGGGATGGAAGCCAGAAAGTCCATGTGGGATGGGAAACCAAAATCCATGTGGGATGGAACCATGTGGGATGGGAAGTCAAACAACAACATGTGGGATGGAAAGCCGAAAGTCCATGTGGGATGGGAAGCCAACAATCCACGTGGGATGGGAAACCAAACCATGCAGTGGAGATGCGAAGCCAAACTTGCTGGTGCTCGTGCGATAGTTGGGGACCGAGAAATGGAATGACCCGAATGACCCGAACTAAACGAATCGAACTGGTGGCTTCCTCTAAGGGAATCCCTTTCCGGTTCATTCCCACATTCCCTACCTATTGCAAAGGGAAGCCCTTTGGCTGTGATAGGAATTTGGACCCCTCGCTTCGGTATGGGGATGCCAGGGCTCCGCTTTTTACATTTCTCCTGGTTGAAACATCACCGAAAAGGGGCCGGGTTGAAGTGGTTGAAGTGCCAGAGCCCGTTGTTGGGATTCCTTGAGCCACATGAGCTTCAATGCCAGGGCCAGACCCGCCGGCCTGAGATGCCAAAGGAGACCCTTGAAACTGTCAGAGCAGTGCATTTTGGCAGCTTCCAGAACACATCCAATCACCAGGGCCCCTGCACCTTCAGCCCATTGGACTCGCTTTCAAATGTGAGATGCGCATATAGATCGCCTTGTCTCGACACTTTTGATATTCCCATTGGAGGCGGAACGTTGCTCAAACAGGTGGACATCATTTAGGTGCGGGCCCATGCCCACCAATTTGTTTTGTTCAGAATTCCGCATTTAAAGTCAGAGCACGTTGCGCGAGGCGACTAAGCCAACGTCGCCTGCTTGTCGAAGTGGTTCTCCGAGCTGTCGCCGGCCAAATTCCCCAAGGCGCTCGCCGCCTGTCGGCACAGCAACCGAAACGGGGCCCATTGAGTGCAAGGCATTCAAGCCCTAGGCCGTATTTAACTGCACTGCGCTTCCCAAGTTTGCATATATGGGGTTGTGCGAAGAATTCCAGGGACTTCCCTTTGGTTGGCTTCCCTTTGGTTTCCCTTTGGTTTCCGTTTGATATGCGTTTAAACCAACCCCAAAAGGGACACCCTCCAAAAAAGCAAAGCCCCAGCTGGCCTCTCATCCGAGCCACGCCGCGGGGATTTTTATCCTAACAGTTCAGGTGGAGCGCCCTTTCTTGGGAAGGCTGTTTTCAGGGGTACAAAAGAGAAAGACCCACCAAAGCGGGGTTCGGGGCTCCAAATCCTACCCTTTCCTTTTTGCCAGTCTTTGGGCGGGTTTAAAAGGTTTTCACCAAGATAATTTCGGGGTGTCGGTCCAACGAGCCCTCTGCTTCACGGTGCTTCCCATCTCCACCTACCAGGGAGCAAATATTTGCTTCCAGCAGGGGTGGGTGGGCCCAGTTAAAACCGTACAGCTACAACCAACTTACATGACGTTGAACATCCAAGTACCCTCATCCTCGCTTACTGCCCTCTAATGGGAGGTTTGGTGGTTTGGTGGGGTGAGAAACCCATTTAGCCTCTACAAATGGCTGTGCGTCAAGAGTAGGTCCCAAATTGGAACCCTGGTAAATGGAACCAAGGACTAAAACCTGCGGTCCTGGTGGTTTGTAATTTGACCCACACTCAAATAGATTCGATTGGAGTCCGAGCCAGCCGCGCCGAATCCCGAATCCAAACCGAGGTTCGGATCGCCTGGGCTTGGACACCGCGGTCAGAATGAGCGAGGAGCCGAATCAGCGGGGTGATGGCACCCGCCTGCAGAGACATCCGCTCGGCCCTTCCTGGGGTCCCCCCCTCCCCCCCCCCCAACATGGGGGGAAAAACAAAAAACTGGCTTTAGATAATCTAGGGTCCCAGGGTCAACAAATGAAGGTTTGTCCAAAGCATGGGGCCCGTTTTGGCATTGTCCCCTTTAAAAGGCGGCACAAGGCGGCAACAACACCCCAAATGGAAACACTCAGGTCAACCTTCAGATCCCCACAAAAGGTTTCCCTTTGGGTTTCCCAAACCATCCAAACCACCAACTAAGGGGTTACCTGATTATATGATTATAAGCAAGTCTTCAAGAAACAGGGAAACAAGGGAGGGGTCAATTTCTTGACCCCGGATCTTGGAACCCGCCATCCCAATACTTGGTTGACGTTGGAAGGGGAGCCAAAATTCAATTTTTGGCAGTTAAGTGGTTGGATTTCAACCACTCAACCACAAAATAAGCCAACATGTAACATGTTTCCCAGCAACAACCATGACAGTGGGAACTGGAGGCACTGCGTGAGCCATTCGCCTCCCCTCCAAACAGCCCAATGAACAAAGCCACGACCGCCCCACGAGCGCCCCAAGAGCGCGCTCGCGCGCTCGAGGATCGGGCGCCTGGGCGATGGCCAGCTGCGCGGCGTTGTGGTTGGCCGCCAAGTTCCGCACCGCCGACGCCGCGGCGCGGGTGGGCACCTGCAAGGAGAAAGCGCTGCCAATTCTGAATTATATGTATGTATATATGTATATATAGATATGTATATATATATATATATATATGTATATGTATTTATATATTTATATACTTATATTCTTATGAATTTAGATACTTATATAGATATATATATATATATTTATATCTATATGTATACATATGTGTATATATATATATAGTTTGTGTGGGGCTCCGTCGGTTGCTGTTTAAGAAACTCCAAATTGATTCATTGTTTTTTGTATATCTGGCTTACTTTATTTTCTAATTCACTGCATTTTGGGGATAAGGCTGGTGAGGCTTTTTTGTGTTTTGGATTATGGGGGGACTTTTAGGGGTTGGAGTACTCTTTCTGTTGATTATTGGTTTTTGGGGTTGGACTGTTCGTCCACTTTTTCAGCTTTTTCCTTTGGGGTTGGACTTTAGTATTGGCACTCTTTTTGGGGTTGGTTCAAACGAAAACCGCAGCCCAAGCCCATGCGGGGGGTCTGATTGTGAAACTCTGACCCCAGCTGGGCGTCGCTCGTTTTGCGGGTTACGCGGCTTCAACTTGGAGACGAATCCCATTTATTGGTCCCTAATCGACTTGTTTGGGCCCAGGTTCCCTTCAAAACCACACCAAAACCTTTGTGGGTCTGTCTTACTTTGAGGGTAGCTGTCGCTTGTGGTTTTAAATGGAAACCTTAAGGAAATCCAGCATATACCCTCCCTCCCACTAACATAGCACCTGTGGGAGGGTACCTGGCAGATCATGTTCCTCTTGTATGGGCCCCTGTCAGGTGCCATTAGTGGGAGTGAGGGTATATGGAAAAAATACTTTTTTTTGGGGGGGGGGTACCCCTAAAAACAGACACACCCTTGTGGAGGATGCAAACCTTAGGCCAAGTTGCCAGGTCGCTTTTCCAAGATTGACGCCTGTAGGTCCCTATGAGGCTCCGATGTTTGCATCAAATGGACACAGAAAGGACCCATCCAAATGGGTCTCTACATAGAGGAACCCCCTAGATGCGGTTATCTGTTGTTTTCCTTTGAACAAAACAAGTCCAAAATTGTTCCCTGAAACAAAGATAAAGATACACCCAAATGAGGAGACTCCTTCAATGGATGTGGGTTATTTTGTTGTGGAGGGCTCAACCATTCTCTTGACACACCGTTCTGTTTAAGATTTCCTGAGATGCCGGCAATGCAACAATAAGCCCGCGAACATGTTCCCCTCAATCACCATCCAACATGTTGCAACGCAACAGATGCCATCGGCGAGGTTTCCCAGTGCTCAAGGACTTGCCATGGTTGAGTCCTAAAAACAGGAACACCCTAAAAATCCCTTTCCCTGTGATTCCACGCCCCTGTATAGCAGGTAACCAAGAAACCCACCCTTCAAAAACCAAACGGAGAATGGGATCCACTGGGTTTGGTTTCCATTTAAGACCAGCCCAATCCCTAAGCACAGGTACCAAACCAGGTGCCTGAAGATTCCGTAGACCGAAAGGCCTAGCAACAACAACAAGGCCGAGCCCGTGGGCAGCAAATAGACCGTGAAGCTCTCTTGGGCACCCCACCGAGGAGTCCGAAGCAAGCAACCTGGCCGATCTGGGTCTGCCCTTTCGGGGTCTTGCGACTTTGGATTCCGCGGGGGAAAAGGAAAACGACCAAGGCCATCTTAATGTCCCTGTATGGCTATGGGTCAAGCATACCGGCTGAACCCTGAGGATCGACACCTCTTGAAGCTCAGCACCTCTTGATGTCAGATTGTGGGTCAAAAATAGGGACCCAAAAAGGAATCCAAAGTGGAAACATGGACTAAACCTGCGGTCCAAATCCTGGTGGTTTAATTTTGACCCATACCCATACTCATCAACCAACCAGTTTTTGGAATTCAATTCCGGGGGGGGTTCTTGGCCCCCTCCAAAAGTGGTCTGATTCCCCACAGGGACAACCCCCCAATAAACTGGGGTTGACGCCAAGATCAAGCTTCCATTGGGCTCCTTTGGGGAGGTGTCATGCACTATCCTCGCGCACGCCTGCTGAGCGAACACAAGCCTAAACGACCTAAAACACTGCCTCCTCACATCCCGTGCTAAAGTTCAGCTTTTAGTGCATTAAATGGAAACCCCCACTACATCCCCTAACCCCTAGAAAACCGAAAAGCTAAGGAACCGGACGGCAGGTTCCGAACCGCCAGGGCACACCGAAGGCTTCTGCTACCGGAGCCACCAGCAGCATGGCCCCCACACCACGTGGGGTCGAAATCTGTCTGAAGCATCGCGAGCATGTCTCGGCTCAAAGCAAGTCGTTTTGATTGAAACCTCAAAGGAAATCCTACCCTGGAAACGCATTGCCACACCACGTCCTTCTTGTTTCGCACTTTTCCGGGCCGGGTGAAACAGGCGTTTTGCAACTGAGTCTGTGCCCTGCACCACAGTCGTACACGGCGACAGCCGGGCATCCAATTCGCGAGCCAAGCGCAGGATCTGTCAAATCCGCTTGGATGCCGCGGGCAGTTGATCTTTGCCGACGGCTTTTTGCCAGAAAATCCGACATATCGAAGCCTCGACAAGTAGACTTGACAAACATTAAGCTTCACAAACGCCAGTTATCGCCTTCCAAACTCATCAAGAAGGTTTGGTAAAAGTATTTGCAATGTTCACAAGTGTTCTCAGCATGCCTGATTTGCCAGCTGTGCTCCGCTTGCCGTGTGCAAGACTGAATTTGTGGCTGTTTACAATGCACACGCATGTGCTAGCCTGTCAATGAGTGAAATGCCGCACTCAAGCGACACGCCTGTTTGGTTTCGCAGAGTTAAACAAACACGAGTCAGCCAAGTACGCTGCCAACACCTGCGGCACACAGTTGACAAGCCACACAAAGCGCAATGGGAATGCCAAACGTTTCACGTCCACATTGCCCATGCTGAGCGTTGATGCCATATCTTGGACCATCTGGGGTACATAGAAACAAATATGTCCTGTTTCTGCGTCATCATTAGTTTACCCCAAAATATAACGTGGATTTGGAGGAGACGCCAGATTGCATTGTCATAACAATAAAGCAAGGCGCGCCCGTCCCTTGGTCATGGACACATTGCTTCCCCAAGTCACCATGCGGTGCTTGTGATTTAAAGGCTTGCTCATATTGCCGTGGACTTCATCTGGACCGGGTGTCCCATTTCCACCATCTCCGGAAGTTCTGAAATCTCGTATGGATCTCCCCTTGGCACGTATCTCGCCTTGGGTGTGGAGTTCGGGTCTGGTTTTGGTGGCTTCGCCCGCCTTCTGCAGCAGTAGAAGTCGCAGCAGTTAATGCATGTGACGCAACAACAGCAGCATTTCTTCTTGCAGCACCTGCCGCACGTCCTTGCCTCTTCCCAATACGCCAAGCGCATGTCCGGGTCCTTGCACTCCGCCCGCAGCAGTGGGATGCAGCAAAACAGGCAGGTGCAGCACATCACGGAGCAGCCGATCGTCAGCGCCAGGAGGCCCTTGCCCGTGCTATCGAAGGTCCAAGTGAAGGACCAGTCGTTGTCCCCGGAGATCGTCAGATCCTTCATGGCGCCCATGACGATCAGCACCACTCCAAGAGCCTCAAGTCGTTGGCGCCCGAAGAAAAAAAACGTTGCAATGTAGAGTTGCCTAGGTCTTCCAGTAGAGAGGTTAGGATAAGGGCACCCTTTTCTGTAGCCTATTCTAGTAGGGGAACCCTCCCAACCCCATTTTTGGGGTTTTCAGGCTGTCCTCTTGAGTTGTTGTCTGGTTTTGTTCTTGGTCGAGCTGTTGCGGTGGAAAGTGGCTGACAAGACAAGGCATTCCTAGGTTTGGCCTTCTTTTGGGTGCCTAGTTTGGTGATACCCTTCCGGATGACGAAACCACTGGAAAACTCGGAATGTGTCTGGTTGTAAGTTGCGTGCAATGTGTCTAAATCACATACACAACGTTGACTACTTCTGTCAAGAAGGAGTCCAAAGAAAAGCTACAACGGTCATCTCTCTTTGTTTCGCGTGGATTTTCTTAAGGCCCCTGGAAAGGAAAAACAATCCACGAGTGATAGATTCCCTTTGAAGCCAACAGGGGGAACTACAAAATATTCCTATCGGCAAATGGACGTTGGTATTTCCTCATGATCACTTGAGTGGATTTGCCAAAAAGTCCGAATTGTTTGTTGCCACCAAAGTGGTCCACACCCACAAAGTGACAGTCCGAAACGGAACTCAGGGAGTGAGTCTCGCCTTTCCTTAGAGTCTCGCCATTTGACAATGGGTGGTCTCCCTGGAGCCTAAGAAAAACGAGCTGCCGCGACGAGAAAGAGGATGAAGCAGTAGCATCGACAGCACAACTTCTCCTTGAGGCTGGCTCTTCCGCCTCGAGAAGAGCGGAGCTTGAAGAAAAGTCGTGGACCCCGACCGGGGCAGGGGGGGTGGGGTTGAGTTTGTGGAGTCTAGCTCCGGATAAGCCTAGGATAGGCCAAGGATAAGCCTTTAATAAGGCCTTAACTTGCTGGGGCTGAGTAGGGAATGAGGAAATGAATCTGGGCGTCCCCTAAAAGGAAACCACAAGGGATGGTTTTTAGGGCTCATTCCCTCATTCCCTGCTGAGCACCAGCAAGGGCTTACCCCCCCCCTCCCCCCGGTCCATGAAACTCAACCCAACCACCTGGAAGATCCAATTCTTTATCAAGTAAACCTCTCTATTGCCCCTGTGAACAACACCCGAACCTGGGATTTGAAGCTCATTTTTGTTTTGCCATCACTGCCAAATTGGTCGAAATTCGAGCTAAGGAGCCATGTGGTGCTGGTTTTACTCATCCCTGGCTCCATTGGCACCCCGATCGAGAAAGCCCACCACAATCTACACAGCAACTCGTAAAACTTCGGGAATCTCCTCCGTAGTGTTTTCAACCAGAACTCATCACAACTCATCACACTAGTGTGTCAAGTTGGGAGAGCCTTCACTGGGTTTCGGTTTTCCCTTTAGCTTCCCTTTCAGCTAGCCCACTGTGTTTTGTGTCTTAAAATGGGGGGCACCAAGAAGAGTTGTCCTTTTGGTGTCCCTTCAAACCAACCCAAAAAAGGCTACTCTCACACACACACACACACACACACACACACACACACCTATATACACACACATTGCCCGCTTTAAATGTCCATCGTTGGCCTGGTCGCACCAGCTCGGAGAGCGAAGACTTCATGGCGAATGTGGCATCAAGGCTTCGAATCTTCGAACGCTCAGGAAGGCTGAAGTCATTGGAGTTGTTTTGCTGCGGGCGGCTGAACCGATTTCCTTTCCCTCGCTTTTCAAAGATCCGTCTCTCAAATAAATGCGAAACTAAATAACGAGTGATGTGCCGAACGGCGGATGCAGGTCTTGGGAGCTCGGGCGGGAGGCTTTGCCCACGCCACGGCTCACTCACTCACGCCACTTGAGCCCAAAGCGGACGTTTATGGGGATAAAAGGGCGCCTTCGCTTTTGGTGGTTGGAGTCAAATGGAAATCCACCCCCAAAAGTGAAACCGGGCTTCTTTTCGGGGAAGGTTGATTCTAAAGTCACTCTCGCCCAAGCAAAAGATCTTCAGGAAACACCCACCAACAAAAGAAGGAAAAGCACACCACTGGAGGTGCGGAAAGGGTGCCTTTTTGAGTCTTTGTGCTGACCAGATTTAGAGAGTGGAGAGCTGTGTTAGTTTGTTTGAGCCATCGTGTGCTTTGTTTTCCCCTATATTTGCCACGTGGATTTTAAAACGACCGCAAAGTCTTTGACACTTGGGTGTGTGTCCCCCCCCAAAAAAAAGGTAGCCTCCAAACAGTGGGTTCCCTTGAAGGCCACCAAACACATTCGTACCCTTCTCCCAAAAAACACGTCGGGTTTCCTCTTGATTTCCCCTGCAAACGACCAACCAAGTCATTGGTAGCCGTTGAGCATCGACATGCCCCTGCGTTATGGGGTGAGTCTACAGCCTTGACAGAACAGGCCGACGAGGTAAAACTGGCGACTCGGATTCCCAGGCCAGACTTCGACCATTGGTAGTTCGACAAGCCATTCTAGGTCCTCTAGCAGAGAGGTTAGAATGAGCGTACCTTTTTTTCTCTGTAGTCTATTTTAGCAGGGGACACCTCCCCCCAAAAAAGGGGTGAGCAAGGGCACTACTGCAGGACCTAGCAGCCGTCGCCTCACCAGTGCCGGCACAGCGCCCGCTCGGAGCAGTGTGGCCTGCGCCTTCGGCTCAGGACGTTGGTTTTGAGGGTAACCCCTCGGTGGCGAAATCTGCGAAGCCCCGGTAAAAGTGAATAACCTTTAGTGGTCTAATTCGGAAAACCCGACTTCGTTGGCAAACAGTTGAAGTCCTAACATCGCTTTGACAAAATGGACCGTAGGGAAACCAACAAAAACAAACAAGAAACAAAACAGAGGGGTTCCTATGTGGGTTCCATTGGCGCTCCTTTTCTTGCTGGTGCGAGGCAGGGAATGAGAAATGGAATGACCCCTAGAAAAACCATCCAACCCATGGTTTCCTCAAAGGGAATTCCCTTCCGGTTCATTCCCAACGCGTGGTTTCGGTTATTGCCCATTGAGTACTAGTAAGTTTAAGATCACCCAAAACCATGAACAAGGCCTGGGTGAATTCTACTAAACCTGAACTCGGAAACAGACTCCTTTCTACAGACGTCGCAACCGAAATAAATCCACTTCGTGGATTGCCCCAAGATTTGGGACCATAGGTGTCATTTCGAAAAAATCGTTGACACTGGCAAATGCTTAGAACCAAGGTACGCCGGTGCCATCTACGTTCAAACAAGCTCACCCTTTGCTGTTGACCCCTCCCACAGTTTCTCCCTTTCTGTGGGTATCAAAGGGAAAATCCCAGCTGTGTCAGCTCGAAAAAGTCAGAAAAAATCCGCGGATCCGAAACCGGCCAAGAAATTGATCCACCCCAACCACCCCTTGTGTTACCCATTGGTTTCGCAGCTACCGCTGACCTAAAAAAGGACTCCTCTATCGCGAATCCGCTCGGTGAAACCTTGGAAGCTGGTTGCATGGTTGCCCTGTCGGCACCTGGTCCCCGTCCGCGCATAAGGCTCCCAGGGCGGCTGCCGCCGCCTAGCGAAAGGAGTGCTTGTCACCCGACCCCCCCGTTTTCTTTGGAAACAACCGAGGGAGAATCCCCCCCCCCTTCCCCGTGTTTTGTTTGTTTTGTTGCGCTCTTGCTATTGTTTTTTTGTGGGGGGGGGGGTTCAAAATGAGACAACCCCCATCTATGGTCGGAACTTCTAAAATTTTGGCCACTGGTAGTATAAAACCCCTACTAAATCCCGGTTAGGAAGCTGATGATCATCCCCAGCAATCCCAAGAGGGGCGTGTTGACCAGGTCACACATGGTGAGAGCCTTGGGAGATGAACCAAGGTTTATCTGGCTGAGGGCTCAAGTGGTCCAAAACAGGGTAACAACATAGGTGGCCCTGGTTTGCTGGAAACAAGGACTAAAACGACTGGTTGAAACAAAAAGGACAACCTTGAGTGGGTTCATTGGAACCTACTACTCTACCAACTAAAAACAACTAGAAACCTAAGTTGAACCGGATGGCTACAAACCACCAGGGAAACGTACTCCGCTGTTGTTCGAGGGACCCTTTGCTTGTCAATGCCTGGAGACCCGTGCTTTTGTCAACACAAACCTGGAGTTTAAGACAAAAAACACCACACAAGAAACTCATTGAACATAATGACATATGATGCAATCTCCATCATTGAAATGTGCAGGCGTGGAATATGTCTGGTGGAGGCTTCGTTTTAAAGGGTGGCCTTCATTTTACCTTGTTGTAGTCTTCATTTCGAAGGTCGCCTTCGTTTTAGAGAGTTTTAGCCCCTACTCCACCCAAATACATGTCCTTGAGGCGGAGTAATTTGAGGGATCCCTCATATGCCTTTCAAACAAATGCCCTTTGCCATAAATCCAAACTCAATACATGTCACACTTCCACGTCTTTCGGGTCGCTCATTCGCCCCACCGGGGGAATGAGGGCGAGACGCCTCGCGTTGAATACGTGTTCTAAGGCCGACCAAAATTGGAAAACCAAAAGGTCAAAAGGTCGGTTTTGAACAACTGAGCCGGGCATGTGTACGCAGTCCCAGCTTTACTGGGCGGGCGAAAAAGCCGAAGTGGCCCCGACTCCAGCGTGCAAGGCTTCTCTGGCCAAAACTGGCTTAGGCCAGCATGGCAGCTTATGGGAGTGCCTTTCCTTTGGAGAGCCGCATTTGGTTGAGGGAAACCGAAAGGATAGCAACCAATTGAGGGGCCGATCTCTGTTGAGAAAACCGGCCTCCTGCAAGGCGGGAGACCTCTCGCGTAGCAGCTCCACCAAAGGGAGCACAGCGCCGGCCTGGACGGCGGTGGCTGCTGTTGGTTGGATGGCTGGGTGCTCCCTCGCTCCCTCCCTCCTCCCTCGCGCTCTCCCTTCCTCCCTCCCTCTCTCCCTTCACTCCCTTCCTCCCTCCTCCCTCCCTCCCTCCCTTCCTCCCTCCCTCCCTCCCTTGCTTCCTTCCTTCCTTCCTTCCTTCCTTCCTTCCTTCCTTCCTTCCTTCCTTCCTTCCTTCCTTCCTTCCTTCCTTCCTTCCTTCCCGATGATTGGCTGTTTGCCTGGTTGGTTGATTGGATGGCTGGCCGCTGCTTGCACTCCATGCTGTCCAAGTCACATTGTTGTTCAAACCATGAGCAACGTGTAGCTTTACCCCTGCTGTCGTCTCAAGCGCAGACAGACTGGCACTCTAACCTAAAAAGCTAGGTAAGCTCCGTAGTACAATCCTTGCAGCAATACAGGATACTCCACCCCACTGTGCCAGGGGCATGAGCAACGCAATCAGGAAAGGCCCAAGTAAACAAAGCTGGAGGACGTCCAAATGTCGGATCTCGTAAGTCTTGGCCTTCCAAACGGCAAACAAAACAACAAAAACATGATAGGCTATACCTCGCGTCCAACATGGAACCTGCCGTGGTTCGGATTCCTGGAAAACGGACGATTTTCTCGCCACCGTTTCTCTGGTGAGTTCGATGACCGACAGGCCCCCAGAACCCTGTCATTGGGCCCAGAAAGCTGGGCTACTGCAAAGGCAATCCCCGGCGAAGTCCATAAAGGAGTTGCGCCCTTGCGTTTTGGCCTTAAGGGCCAAATCAGGGAGCTATGCCCCCTCAGGTCCCCCCTCTTTGGGCCCATAACACCATGTGCCAGGTGGGTCTGTCTGTTTTGGAGTTGGTACCCCGTTGTTTTGTTGGTTTTAAAGGAAACCAACAGGAAAACTGGGGGGGGGGGGTGTTCCAAATAGGGACACGCCCATGTTGGTAAGTAAAGGTACTGGAGCTATGCCCCCTCTACTGGGTACCCCTGAAATGTCCACAGGCACCCAGCCTGCAGAATGGCCTTGCGCATGTCCTTTCCCTCGCGGGCCGTAGCCATCAAGCTCATGACCGCATCGTGGCGCTCCTCCGGACTCGGCTCGTCCTTTTCTTTCCCCGGTAGCTTCCCCTTAAACGTAAGAAACGGGGGGGGCGTCCGTTTGGTGCCCCCTTAAAACCCCTCAAACACGGGCACCTCAAAAAAAGACTGACTCTGATTTGCTCTAGGGGGCTGGGTACTTGCTCCAGCAGGGTGCTTGCTGGAGCAGTCCAAAAACTACACCAAGGTGAAAGATGGCACGATTCCCGGTAGGTGTGGGTAAGTACAGTGGATGTTTCAACAAAAGTGAGGGAATTGTGCCACATCTACTTTGACCCAAGTGTACCTTTCTCCTTTTGGTTCCTTTTGGCACAGTTCAAGAATGGGCTACTTGTCAATTCATTCGAATGGGAAATGGACATGTGAAAACCGCATGCAGACTTCTCCCGAAACCAGGCAAATGACAATTGCTTGAGTGCTCCGAATGGCTGGCTTCGGATGCATGGAACAAAGCGCCCCCCCAAATGGTACATATTGAACTGTTCCTTGCAACAAAACCACAACACGGAACTTTCATTTGGTTAAGACCCCTGGACAAATTATATCCAGTAGTGATAAATTCTGTTCCAAACCAACAAGGGAAAATAAACAATATTCTAAAGCAAATGGAAGGGAATGCTCACTTCGGGACCTGGCTGCAAATGGTCGCCAACACAACAAGGCCGATTCGCTGTGGTCTGAGCTTCTGGTGTCCACTCAGCCCAGGTTTTTTTTGTTTTTGTTTTTTTTTTAAGCGCTTTTACGGCTCAAGAGGTGAGGCCGGGTGCTTTTTTTAGCAAAACGGGGGGTGTGTCTTTTTTGCTTTGGTGCCCAACAAATTGACTGGTATCCTCTTTGTTTCCCCTGAACACCACCAACAAAGAGGTCCCAACACAAAAGACGGATCCTGCGGATGTATGTATACTCGCGCGCATGCATGCTCAGACATGTCAGCTTTATGGCGACCTCTGGCTCTAGATGCTGGCTGAAGAAGCGACCCTCCCAAAAGCCATCTTTGAGATTTGGGTGCGTCTTTTTGAGGGTATACAGTAGATGCCACAACATGTTTAACTTGAGTCATCCCCTATACCCACTTGAAAAGCAACTTTGGCTGATCGTCATCCCTTTACTTACCCACATGGGCGTGTCCCTATTTGGAAGACCCCCCCAGTTTTCCTGTTGGTTTCCTTTAAAACCAACAAAAAAACGGGGTACCAACTCCAAAACAGACAGACCCACCTGGCACATGGTGCAACATCCAACCCACAAATACAGCTCGCTTCGACCATCGAAATCTCGATTTTCCTCCAGGCTGCGGCTCCGCAGCTGCTCCACCTGAGTCACAATCAAAACCTAGTACAAAAATGGTCGATCCCCAGAACCATGCTTCAAGAATTAGAAAGGCGGAATTCCGCCACTATTTCCGGCTGGGACTGCCCCGAACCTTCACCAATCCCCGGGTTTTGATTGCTCGCAGCGAGGTCCAAAAGCTTCTCCCTGGAGACCCTCAAAACCCTTTCGAGAGATTCGGAAGCCGAAGACCTGGAGCGCTTCTGGTAACTCACTTCTTGTTTTTTTGTTTTTTGTTCGAAAGGCCGCTAGGAGCGCCTGTGCCAAGAAAATGATTGGCTTTGGGGAAAAAAACAAAAGGAACTTCGTTGTTTTCCGACGAACATGGGCCGGTGCTGGGACATAATCCAGTTTGCAACCCCTTGCTATCCGTGAGTGGGTCAGTGGTCATCTGCTGGTTTGATCTTGTCCCTTATGCCTAGCCAAGCAAGGCGATGACGATCAACTTTGAAAAGTGGCTACTTCCTTAAGCATTTCTAGGGACGAAATACATTTCGCACCACCTAAGAAACCCTGGAATGGTTCGATTCCCCTTCAAATACCAGCAAACAGTGGTAAACTGGTGCAGGACTTCGTCCACCCAGTTTATTGTTTTGCCATGGGAAAGTGCTGCGGGTCAACAGGGCTCGCAAAGAGACCCCCCCGACCTACTGATACAATACACATGACATGCCAAGACAATGGTCTGGAACACAGCAAACTGATTGATCAATCCGGCAAATTGGGGGGTAAACACCCAAAGTACCAGATCTCTCAAAGGGGACACCCGGCTATTCATCAAGCAAGGGCCTTTTTCTTCCTCGGCTCCCAATAGTCACTCCCAGAGAGCTTAGATTAGAAGAAGTGGGCACCCTCTTTTTTCCCGTAGTCTATTTTAGGGGCTTGCCCTCCCTCGCCCAAAAAAGCGGTGAGAAAGGGCACTACTGGGGGACCTAGTATTTGTAGGAGTCCCCGCAGAAAGCTGGCTTCCCTTTAACACCAACAAATGGCTGGTGTCCCTTGCCCACAAAAGGGGTGAGAGGTCGAAACGGCACCAATTGCTGGGGGACCTAGTTCCCTACTTCTCAGCCCACGGCACAGCGGATGAGCTCGGGAATGCCCCGACCGAACTTGCGAGGCCTGCACTTCCACTTCCGTGCGCTTGCGCAAGCGCGAGGAGACTCCGAAAGAAAGCAGTTACTCGTTCTTCTAACCCGGACCTGGGAAATCTGGGGATGCTGAAAATCCATCCAACAGTATCTCACACACACTGGACATGAGAAATCTCCTATTACAGGGGTCACTGGATTTCCCCTTCGAATGTTGATCAAGTACTGGTTTGGCTTCCATTGAAACGATCGCTGTTGGAGATTCCAAAAAGGGAAATGGCTCGGAAACCCTGCAGTACATGGCCATGGGTCATGTATCCCGTACCCATCCCAATCCCCACGAAAATAGGTTCTAAAATGGGTGGTGAATTCACCTACCAACCAAAATGGGATCCCATAACGTGTGTGAGCTCCTTTTCGCACGAGTCAACTTGGTGAGCGGAGCGAATCCCGCGTCGACTCGCGGAGGCGATTCGCCTGAAGTCTGAAGCTATGAGGCCTGGCAGCGCGCGCGAAGCAAAACCGGGGAATGTCTCCCATGGTGGGAGCGGGTGGCCCCCCCATTCTGAACCCAGGGATCTGAATCTTTCTAGAAAACCTCCTTTGAAACCCAGGGGAAACGGCTCCAGGTTTTGAAACGAAGGATGGTTGAAAGAATGGGAAAGGAATCAAACCCTAGAATGGTTGGAGCGGTTTGCATCCTCTTGTTCAATGGCTGGAGGCGACAACACTAGTGCACCTGCCACAAAACCTTTTTTTGTATCTTAGAACTGTCTAAAGGGTCGGTAAGCCTACTGGGAAGGGTTTACCTGGGCAGGCGGACGGGGGCACTGGGCCCTGGGGGATACTAACCACACAGCTAACTCGATGAATATCTAAGTTCACCCGCTGCGGCTTCAATAACTCAGCAAAGGCACTCATCTCTGCCACCTGCACCTGCGTCGCTTCTGGACCTTAGGGGGCAAAAGCCAAAGTTCCAAGGCGACAAGTAGGGCAGCAAGGGGCATACCCTCCCAGCAATTAACATGGCACCGGACGTTCGGGGGTCCCTTTAACTTTAAAAATTGTCTTGCAGGACCCCCCCTGTCAGGCTCCAAGCTAATTGGTGGGAGGGTGCGGGTGATCAAGGACCCACAAATGATGGCGTTCATCTTGTTCCCTTGACACCAAACTCAAAACGAGTACATAAAACAGTCACCCCCATGTGATTCATGTTCTGGAACCCTTGCTGACACTTCAAACGGCATTTGGCGGAAGCCCAAAATAAACTGTTCTTCTATTATAACAACGATATCATAATTGGACATGTATCAAGTAAGCAAGCCTTAAGTTCCTTCTATCTGACCAGCAAAATGTGCAGCACGCATATGCTTGCCCAGGTCATGGGCAACTATCAAGACAGACTATCCCAGAAGAGATAAACGTCTATGCGTTGACAGGAATCTACGGAGTCTGCCTACCGAGATGCTCTCTTGGCTGACCATGATCTAGGAAACAAGATGGCAATATGGCGCGGAGCGCCAAAAGAAGCTAGCTGAAAGCTGGGCGCGGGAGGTAGTCAACTGCAACTTTTCCAGCGAAAATAGGCATTGCCACATGCCGTCACCAGTTGTCCAACGCAAAACCCGTCTAGCAAATCCCCTAAAGGTATCGATGCAAAACACAACTCAACAACCTCCAAGACTGCACGCGAGGCGCCTGTTCCGGCTCCAAACCATCGCCTTCTGGTCCCAACCACTCAAGCCTCAGGGAGATCCTGGTCAGACCTGCGGATTGAAAGGGGCAAACTGAGTCTGTGGTTCTAGAGTTGGTACCCTGCCAGGTTGGCAGGCAAAAACCAAACAGAAAACCCATGCATTTTGGGGGGTCCCACTTTGACCAGCAAAGAGGGGCACCGCCCAAAAACGCATGGGCTTTCCTTTCGTTTCCCTTTCATCCAAGGTGAAAAGGGCCTCAACATATCCTTTCCAGGATGCCACAGCTTCAGCCCCGGAACTCTTCCGGAACTTCTCCACCCCTTCCACCCCCTCCATTTCCCGGCGCCCCCCCCCAAAAAAAATGGGGGAAAAAATGAAGGGGGGGGCACCCCCAAAGCTTTCAGCTGCCCCAACCCCACCCCGCTCCATCAGCTCCCCCCGACTGCTCCGAGGCCTGGGCTCAGGTTCGCTTCCAGCTCCATGGGCTCCAGGCCTTGGCAGCCAGGCGGCACGCGCCGCAAAAGATCCGCGGTGCCCGGCTCGCCTTTTCCTTGGGGTTGGGTGTGCCCCCTTTTTGGGTGGCTTCAGGAAACCCAAAAAGGAAAGAACCGCCATGTTTTCGTGCTTTTTGGCGGCCTTGGGTTGAGTGCCCCCTTTTTTGGTGGCTTTGACAAACCCAAAAGGAAACCACCGCCATTTTTTGCGCTTTTGGATCTGTTAAAAGGGGCGGGGAGCTCCGATGAATAACAAACACACACCCACTTACATGATCACCCTCCAAGCTTCCACTCGCCTTTCCGGGGGGGATTCTATCAAGGGAGTTCTCTCTTGCTTTTGCCTCAAACCAAGACCCACCATGACGACACATTGCGGCGTTCAATGCGAAGACAAGACGCTCACGACGACTTGCACATGTGGTGTCCAATTTCCACAGCCTTACACGTTGAGTGGGAGAATGAACCTTGAAGGGCCGGTAGAAGAGAAACGGTCGGGTGCTCTGCCAATTGGTCTGCCCTTTGTGTGCTGGGAGTGTGTCAAAATAGGAATCGGACCCCTCCGATTCAAACCAACCTTATGACGGGTACCAACAAAACAAAGCACGCACACGCACTCTGCGAACAAAGAACTGGTTGCCACACCTGCGATCACTGCCTGTGAGCATTCGCCGAGTGGCTTAAAACCAGGTGAGTTTTGGGTGTCCTGAACGAAGGAACCCATGTTTGGCTCATTTGCCAGAAGGTGAACCCATCATCCAAAGAGGGCTCGCTACGGAAGGAGGCATCTACTTGAAGGCCCGCCCAGAGGCCCCCCCCCCCCCCTCCCTTGGAGGTCTGCGCAAAAGCCATGACTTGTAGGCAGAGGGGGGCAGCGGCCCGCTGTGAAGTTTTGGGAGAAACTACCATGTCCCTAAATAGGTCTGTTTCTCCCATGTCCTAAGATGTCTTGCCACTTGGAAAACTACCACTTCGCGGACACTATTTCAGAGATTCACTACCATGTCCCTCACCAGAACTCCGTCGCACTCTGAGTCTGGCTCTCTGATTGGGATACCCCAGCTCCACAACGCGGCTGTCTTCCATCCACCAGCTAGTTTGTCCGTCTTCCCGGTGCGCCAACCGGTTGTTTGCTTTGCTCCATTGGACACCAGGCATTTCACGGGATTAAACATGGTGCACCTTGGGAAATCTCTGTTGGTTACAGCGTCGACACCCAAAAGGAAACCGACCGGGCAAATGACTACGTGCTCATTCACAACCGGAAATAAGCCGAGTTCGTTTGTACCACCGGTCGGTGAGCTTGCAAACTAATTTCCCCGTTTCGGTGTGCTTAAAGATTTGGTTGCTGGCGAGACTTCTCTGGAAAAGAACAGTTTAACTTTTTGTGGGTCCAATGGAGAATCCGAGTTGCTTCAACCAACAAGTTGAAGTCCAAAGATCCGCTACCAAATCGCCATAAAGAACAGGGGATCCCTGTAAAAATGGGATCCCTGTAAAAATGGTAGGTCTGCTGAGCTCCTGTAAAGATGGTGAACTCCTTATACCCCCAAGATCCGTGAGCTCGCGTCGTAAAATGGGCAAACATCGGATCGAGCCCGGCCTGGGGGCGCTTTGGCACGGCCCTTGGCCACATGGACGCTGCCTGACGTCTGGCGAGCTGGGCCTTGTGTATTTTCTGGGGTCCTTGCGGACACAATATTAACTGGGTGTGGGTCAAAACTAGGTACCTCACATGGAAACTTGGCAAGTAAAAACAGCTTGCGGCCCACATCCAGTTCTTTTGTTTCTTTTTGTTTTAATCTTTTTAGCCCATACCCAAATGTTGCTTCAGGTCGTGGAGAACTGGGTTTTAACTCCCTGCGCCCATCTCTGCGGGCGACTGGCGAGTAACTCGTCACCATGCTTCATCCCCGGCATGTTTTGTGGGGATTTGGGACACAAACCACAGAAGTGGCACACACAGCTTGCCAAAGCCGATGGCGGGAAAAAAAGGACCCTGCGGCTCGCAGCCGCGGGTTTTGCGGGGTAGGCGCGGTCCCTTTGTCCACCTTCTGGACAGCTGTCAAATGATCTCTCTAGGGTGATGTTTGTCAGCGTCAAACTTGCCGCGCGTTGTTTTCCTTCAAGCGTGGCATCCAAAAGGAAACCTGCGCGTTTCAGGCTCTTGCAAACTCCACCCACAAGGTAGTCGACAAGGCATCACTCTAAAGTGAGCCATTTCGTTGAGGCATCTGGGTCTGTTACACTATCCATTGGCTTCTGGGGGTAGTGGTTTGGGGGTAGTCAATGTAGTCACCTAACGAATTCTGGAATGGTGATTCCCCAACGCAAATACCAACAAACAATGGTTTCCTAGGTCCTCCAGTGGAGAGGGTAGAATAAGGGAACCAACTTTTTTTTCCGTCGTCTATTTTAGTAGGGAAACCCTCCCAAAAAAGAAAAGGGGTGAGAAAGGGCACCTAGCTGGGGGACCTAGTTTCCTATGGTTTCGTCCCATGAAACAAATATAAATTCCTCTGGTTTCCTGTGGTTTCCTATGGTTTCCTGTGGTTTCCTCTGTTTTGCTCTGGTTTCCTATGGTCTCCTATGGTTTCCCTATGGTTTCCCATAGCTTCCTATGTGTCACAAACACGGACGGATCTCGTCCCGTGCGGCGCGAGGCAGTTCGATCCTGCCATGGCTGCAAGCACAGCCGCCAGCGCGAGGAAGAAAGGCCCCCGGCGGCCTGAGCTACCGAGGCACCCCTCCACCCCCTCAACCCCCCCCACACCCGCTCCCCTCAAACACCCCCCCGCCCCCAAAAAAAATGGTGCCCCCAAAAAGAAGGCTTGGGGTTGAGTTGGGGTTCCCCCAAAACGAAAAACCTTGAAGCTTGGGGTTAAGTTGAGGTCGTTGTTGTTTCTTTCTTTTGTTCTAGAGAGTTGGAAAGGTGTGTTGGAGTGGTGGAGTAAGGTGGGTGTGGTTGGGTCTGATTTCGCTTGAAAAAACGATCGCACAACAGGTACCCGCCACAAAAGGCAACCTAGGAATCAGAGCCACCAGGTATCCCCAACAGCCCCGGTCCCCCCTACCCTGCGGAACCTTCCCTGAAAGCTGCTCCAAACCACCCCCAGAGCCGATTTGGGCTGAGACCCCGTTCTTTCAGTTGTGTAAACCATCCCCGTCTTGGTGTCATTTGATGCGCATGTGACTCATGTCTTAGACCTACCTTGCTTGGAGCCCCTGCACCCCTTTTGCTTCCCAAGCTTAAGTGTAGCCCGCACTTAGCAAACCGTGACCTACAAGTGCGTTGAGAAACACGTGCCCGACCATCAATCAGGCTGCCGCATTGTTTGAGCTCCCTCTTGTCACTGAAGCTTGCGGCTCCAATCCAAAAATCCGAGCAACCAAAAAGTTGTTCAAGTCCACAGATCCGTGGCCAAATAACCGGAGTTAAAGTGACTCCGTTCATTTTGTTGAGGGATATGGAAGTACAAGTTCGAGTCGATATCATAGACGGTTGATGTTCGCTAACAATATCATAATAATGCGGGCTTGGTACATATGCGGGGAAACATTTGGTGCTTTTACTACATTATGAGGGTAGGGCAGACCTGTTTGACGTGCTCTACCAAGTATCATAGATACTACCCCGTCTAATTTGTGCTTTGATTCAGCGGGACACCTGAGTCAGAATCAAAACCCGGTACTAAAATGGTCTACCCAGAACCATGCTTCAAGAATTAGGAAGGCGGACTTCCGCAGCGATTTATGGCAAAGGGATTGGCCCTTTCTATCCGGATCACCAATCCCCGGGTTTTGAGTAAGTGGCTCATGTCTTGCTTTAGGGGACCCAACTGGCTGGTATCCTCTTGTTTTGCCCTGAAAACCAGCAACAAAGAGGTACAACAACGGCAAACATGGGCGTTGTCCCCGGCGAAGATTTCGCCTGATACCAGGCAACGTTTCTGGACTTGGGCTCAGACTGGCCGACTTGCGCGAGCCATCCCTGCGAGTCTCGGAGGCCGAAGCCTGCGCCTGCCGTCAAATGAGCGTAGCCCTCGCCCTTCCCCCCCGCCCCCAAACGGCTTTGGCGTGCTTCCCGGTTAAAGAAACGCAGACAATGTCAGATCAGTATTTTCACCCCCCTGCGCAAACAGGGAAAAAGGTGGCACAAACTGAGGTACCAGAAGAAGAGTCCACATGCATTAGATTTGTGGGGTACGTCAGAACCAATGTTGCTTCACCAAGCAATTAGATCAAGTTAGATCTTTAGGCACACTTCATCGCTCAGCCAACCGTGTCGTCAGCATTGAGCATGCTAAACGTGTACTGCGGCTGCGCAAGTGTGTTGGAACCATCTTATACAGAACAGAGCAACTCCATCACAAGACCTGATCATTACAGTGAAAGTTAAAAAAAGGAACACCAGAGAACTGATCATCATTACAGTTTTACACTGATCATCACTCCATCACAACACCAGGGAAAGTTAAAAAAGAGAGTAAAACATCTACGTAACATCTAGCAAGGGCATATCAACAAGTACTCATCTCGGTATCACCAGTAATTAGAGAAAAGGTATAGGCATTGATTCCCAGGATTTTCAACCATCGTTCTTTTTAAAAACCATCCATTTCCCCCGGGTTTTGGGTGGTTTCCTGAAAAGATTCGGATCCCTGGAAAGAATGGGGAAGGTACCCCTAGATGCTCCCCACGGATATTGAAGAGACGGAGTGGCAAAAGCACCACCAGTTCTACAGGACCAGTTCTACAAGAGTAATTACAGAAAAAACATCGCTGCGATCGCTCCAGCTATGCGAAGCTTCAAAAGGCGCAGCCCGCTTGGTTGCCTGCGCCTCAGTTCTGGCGAGCTGCAGCTGCAATCGCGAGAGATCTGCCTACATGCAGGCGCAGCCGCAACACCAGCATGGGAGTGGTTGTCAAAATAGCAGGGCAACCCCAAAATGGGTTGCCCTGGAACCAAGGGCTAAAACCTGCGGTCCATTTCCTGGCGAAATATTTTGACCCTGGCGCCCACACGTTCCATCCCCTTCCCTTGTCGGGTCCCCTGGCTCAACCCGAACTCACAGGGCTCTTCAAAGCCATCCAACACCGGTGCAGACGCTTTTTCGTCTGCCCACAGTATGAGCTCCGATAAGTCACAATCAAAACCCGGTACTAAACTGGTATACCCAGAACCATGTAAAGAATTCAAAAGGCGGATTTCCGCACCCATTCACGGCCCTTACTACCCTCCAATTGCCCGGGTTTTGATTGTGGCTCAGATTTTGCCATGAATAGAGTTGGGCCCAGCTATAGAAGGTATATTCATTGTTTGCTTCACTTTCAGTCACCGGCAAAATGAAAAATGTATCCTAAGTCTACCCCAGTTGCTTTTGCATTTCTTCAGCGCCGTCTGATTGCCCGGGTTCACCCAAAGACGAACGAAGACTGGCGCAGGGCACCTCTGCCTCTGCAGCAGAGGCAAAGGCGGTACCTGCGGAACCGGCGGAACCAGGCCATGGTTTTTGTTGTTTTTTCCTCATCGGCCGGGTTTCAATGAAGTTTGCTCAACTTTGACAAGTGGCAACCCTAGATCAAGTGGCAACCCGAAAGGCCTTCCGCCAGCGGTGACGAAAGGAATATAACATTTCAAGCAAACTGACAGCAGCTCATGTGAAACCGCAAAGCTTTCGCGAAGGCATCCCTTCAGCAACAACTTCCGCATGTTTCCCGTGCGCATTGGCTCATTTTCAAGAATGATGTCACTCTCTCCACTTTCCACTTTGCTCAGTTTGTTTTCGCGCCGGGTGGATAAATCACAAGTCTCAGCTTCCCGCTAACCGGCGGTTATTGGTGATTTGGAGGTTGAGGGGTTTCCCACCTACCCTCCACACGAACCCGGGATCAACTCCCCAACCCCCCAAAGCAAACCACCAACTGGGGGCTACCTGACCCAGTTACCCTCCATTTGCTTAAGTCCCCTCAAAAAAACAACAGTGGGCGTGAAATAGATTTTCTTCAAAACCAACGAACAGTGAGCCAGTGGAACCAATGCAGGAATCCCTCAACATTCCCTTGCGAAGGCAAAGGCGGCCAAACGAGAGAAAGGCGATTTCACCAGTCCGTGGACTGGAGCTGATCTGCGCCTGATAAGAGCATGGCATAACACACACACACACATGGGTGTGTCATTTTTCAGGAGACGCCCCCACCAAAAAACAATAACAAACCAACCAACCAACCAACCAACCAACCAACCAACCAACCAACCAACCAACAAACAAACAAACAAACAAACAAACACCCACAACAACAACAACTTGTGGTTTTCCCTCTTGGCTTCCCTTTAAGACCACAACAAAAAGGGGTACCCTCAAAAACCGACATAGCCAAATAGTCGCTGGTGGCGTGCCATGATCATTTTCGTGAGTCCTTAACATAAGGTATCCCAGGAAAGGACCTTTAATCATCGAGTTTACACAACTTTTTGAGATCACTCTAAGTTGCCGGATAGGCTCACCGCTGTCACCTCTCAGTAGAGAATGGTAAACACAGCCCCCTGCAAGGCTTCAACCTTGGTGAGCAAGACCAAACCAACCCATCCAACCGGGAATGCTACAAGCGAAGCATACCAGAAATGTTACCAGATCCAACCAACAATGCTACTAAATCCAACCATACCAACACCGGACAAAACATGCAACCAACCATACCAGCCTTACAATCTCCACCAATTCCAAACAAACAAGCCAAAGCCCCAAAGCCATATCCAAACCAAGCCCGCCCAAACCAACCCAAACCAATCCAAACCAACCCAAACTAATCCAAACCAACCCCAACCTACATAAATCCACCAAGCCCCACCAAACCAAAGCCAAGCCCCGCCCCACCCGCGTGAAGGTAGGGGCCCAGACTCTCGTCGCTGCTGCTGGGCTGTAGGGCGCCATCGGGAAGCTCCGCGAATGTGGGCTCCTCGTCTCGCCGTAAGCCAGGCAAGTGCCCAAGGCGAAAAACCGAGCCCGTACCCATATAGAAAAATATGTCTGTGTATATATATATATATGTATGTACGTACGCACGCACACATGTAATATACATATGTATGTATGTATGTATGTATGTATGTATGTATGTATGTATGTATGCATGCGTGCATGCATGCATGCATGTATGTATGCAGGTGCATGTCAAAATAGGAAGCCCCAAAAGGGGTGGGTGCCTGTTTGACGAATACACACATGCTGATACAATATTAATATATATATATATATATATATCTACTCGGTTGCTTGCTGCTCCCCTGATAAAAGTTTAACCTTTAGCGGTTTAATATGGAAAACCCGACTTCGTTGGCAAAAAGTAAAAGTCCGAACATCCCTGGGCAAAATGCACCAAAGGTATATAATATGGTCGCCCTCTTCTCCAATATCCGCGCCTCTGGCCTGCCATTGCAGGATTCATTGAGTTTAGTGGGAACTTAGGATTCAAACCCGATACATCTTCCACCAAGTTCGAAATGATCTGTTTAAACAATGACGGCAAGAACGCAGGCCTATATATGCATGTATAACCTAGTATATAAATATATGTAGATATGTATATATACATATATATATATATATATTTGTATTGGGGACCATTTCTTCCAGGTAGGCGGTTTGCTTTTGGTGTCCACGAAAGCCGTCCCCTATTTTTATCTTGAGAAGCCCCATGACATGAACTTCAGACCAACCGCTTCGGCGCGCAGCTCGGACCTCCGCAATGCCCAGCTGCCATCTGGCCTGCGTGAAACACCCTGAGTCTTCTGGAAATGGGAGGGATTAGTTAAACATGTGGGTGGCCCATCTTTCTCATGAGTTGCTACCTTTTTGTTTGTGGTTACAAAGGGAAACAAAAAGGACAACAGCAATTTTGGGGTCCAATGCCCCAAAACAGGTTCACCCATGTGGGCCCTTTTTCAACAGTATCGCCCAAGGTGCCGCCGAGGAAAAAAGGGCCCCTTAATTTTGGCCCCCAAAGGCGTGAGGGGAGCGATTCACGGAAGTGGTGCTAGTGGGGGTCTCATATCCTGCAAACATCATCCCGCCTAGAGGGATCCTTAGAAACTTTTGTGTGAGCACATGTTGCGCCTCGATGAACCCAGCTATTGACCGGCTTTGACCCAGAGCACTACCTTCCAGCGAACTTGTTCATTCGGATTGACCAAACTGGAAAAACAGTTTCTCCCAAAGGTCAGCTGGAGCATGATCAAGTTTGCGAAATGGGTGTCCCGCACCCCCAAAACCATGCTTGACTTTCTTTACCTTCACCCAACAAACCAAACGGGACCCCACATAAGCCACGAAAAAAGCAACGTGAACGCAGGTCGCGGGACCTTCGTCCATTCGGTAAGAATCTTTTTTGAGATCCTGTAGTAGGCAATTGTGATGTGTCGTTTTTGGGTACCCCTTTGTTGCCGCCCTACCAATGTTCTGCTGTGTCTTGGCCATTTTCAGGCCAAAGGAGACAAGCGAGCACCTCCCAATGGTACAGTAGAGAAAGGTTGCCCTTAGGCTGGATTTCATTCTAGACTTAGATTTGCATGCCTGTACGCATGCGTGTGTTTATACACATGTAAATGCACACATCAGCATTTTCACATGGAGATGGACTCGTGCCACCTTGAACATGTCCCAGTATTTACCCTGCGGGTGTTCCAGAAAACTTTAAACATGGATCACCGCTGGGGTTTATTGCGCCTGCTGCAGCTGCTGCAGCAGCTTGGCGCGGTCCGACTCGCTCTGCCGCAACTGCCGCACCAGCGCCTGCGCTCGCAAAACACCGACAATAACTTGGTTGATGTTGGAAGGGGAGCAACCCTTTAAATTTTAGCAGTCAAGTGGGGATTTTCCACTAAACCGCAAGAAGCAAAAATGTAAAATGCTTTCCAACAACAACCATGATACCGCAAAGAGCAGAGTCTAGGTGGACAGCCGAGAAAAAACGCCCGCCGAAAACCGAAACCGGGAATGTCAGCGGTTGGTCCCGGCTCGGAATGGAATCTGAAGACCCGCTCTCCGCCCACTCCCAGGTTTTTGGCCTTTTGAGAAGAATCTCTGAGCAAACTCGGAAAGCCGGACGCATTTTCGGGTCTCAACCAGGGGCCGCATTTTCAGGTCCCAAGATGTGCTCGTACTTGGGCCCCGAATCTGTGGCCACGCGCCTTGAAAGCTGGAGAAGGTCGAATCCCCCGCTCGGGTAAGCTCGCAAACCCTCGGTGAGGTGGTCGAAACTTGCCCGGGCCGTTCCGTGTCAAAATGCAAGCCGTAACACATGTGCTGTGGCATGTTGGCTCCTCTAATCACCAAAAAAGCCGCCCTGAAAAAGCACGACGTATGGATTGGAGAGCCGTTGGCCTCGCTCGATACAAGACAGCATGGATGGAGTTTATGTCGGCGACATATCGAAGCACGGTAGCCCCCCCCAAAAAAAAAGAAAGAAAAGAAAACGCCACTGTGGTGTAAACTCTGGTTCGCAACACGCTGCAATGCGATATGACGTGATCCAACTATGCTGCTGTTTTTGGGCAACAGCGGAAGGGCATGTTGTCACGTTTTGAACCTCATTCCCAAAACGCAACAGAGTTCACGAAAGGCTAAGGGTGTGTTTAACGTTGTTTGGGCGGGTTTAAGTTTGTTTTCTGGTGGTTTGGTTGGCTTTAGGGTGAGAGGGTCGGTTTAGGGTGGGTTTCAGAGGCGAGTGTGGGATCTGGACTCCGCCAAAGAGATCCGCACCGAAAAGATGGAGCTCCGTTGGGCCCACTTTTGCGCCTTGATTCGCACCTCAAGTGCTTCATGGCGCAATGCAGGGCAGGGCCCACCGGGCGGGGCAGGGAGAAAGCAGAGTTCTAAAGGCCTAATAGCATACCTCTGAATTGGTAGGTGCCCACCGTTCTGAACCAAAGGTGAATCGTCCCTTTCCAAGATAGTTGTGGCCCTGAAGAGCAGAGTCCAACCGGGTTTAGGGTGGGTTCGGGTTCATACAGAGCTTGAGGGTGCAAGGGTTGGTTAGAGTTGGTTTCAGGACGGGTGATTGCTGGTTTAGAGTGGGTCTAGGGTGGTTTTAGGGTCAGATAGGGTTTAAGGTTTCTTTTGGGGTGGGGTTGGTTTAGGGTGGGTTTAGACCGGGTTTGGGCTTGGTTCCCGCTTGGATTGGTAGTGGTGGTTTAAGGGACGTAGCGGTGCCCCCCCCCCCCCCAGGCTCCCAGCCTTGTTGGCTTCTCGTAGCCTTCGAACTTCATCGCCCATGTTGGTGTTCATGGCTTGCTTCTCCAACAGGTCAGTCTAGGCGGAGGGACAAATCTTTGACATAGCCCTGGCACTTGTTTCCCCACGAGTTTTGTTGGCAACTTGAACAGGGCCCCAATGTCCTCCCCCAATCTTTTAATAGACTGCGAGTCATTTTCTCACTTGCCAATGGCGAATGTCTACAAAGACTGGCACCAGGATTGAGCGAAATAAGTTAACGACAAGTGTGAAGTTGCAGGAAACTTGCTTGGAAACTGCGCTCTGAGCAGCTATTGGCATTTGAGCAGACAGAAAAAATCCGGGGGTTGCCGTGCCCCGCTAGGTGCGCCGTTGCCGCCTCTAAAGTGGGATATCAAAGCGCCGAATCTTCACGTGCCGTTGCCGCCTATTTGAACAAGTTCACACACACACACACACACGCGCACAAACACTTCTTGATGTGTGCCAAGGGAACAACTTTGAGACAAACCTCGTTGAGCGTCCCTTCGCGCGCGCCTGCAGCACCTGCGCCGCTTCCTCGAAGGACCGCCCAGCCATGTGGTCTCTCCTGCCATCGACCCGGGTGTTCCTTGCGAGAAAATCCCAGAAGTGGGTGCTGCAAATTTCGCCGAACTCTCATCAAAATGGGAACCGACGGCATGCGTTTGCAGTGCACTCGAGCCTGAGCTCAGGTCGATGCGCCAAGTAGGCCTCAATGGCCTCAGCGTCAAAACTCACGAGGCTGGTGCTCAGCCGTCAAGACCCTTGCGGCGTATTTGCGCCAAGCCCTGGAAGTCAAGGCTTTAAGCTGTCCAGACGTACTGAAAATGGGAGTGCAAGACTTAAGCCTTGCCAAACTGAAGACCTGTCCAGAATCACCCCGATCTGGAAAATAATGAAGGAACACACTAGCCAACTTGAACCCAACAGTGGCCCAGATGTAGAAGGATACATGGCCGCAGGCTCAAATTCATGGGATGGATTTCCTTGCGCTTCAAGGCATCCGGCCTCTGCATCCGTCACTATCGCACATCCTCCAATAAGGCGCTGCATGTGTTGCCTGCATTTCAAGCAGTAGGTTTAATGTTCTGGCTTGCGTGGAATGCGCGAATACAACACTCCATGGGTGGCGTTTCAATCAACTGATGACAAAAGTCAGGACTAGCCAATGCTCTCCATTCAAACATGCATCGTTCTCGCCAGGTCAGGCAACCCATCCACCAAGTCCCGGGCACGTTGCAGCGCAAGCAAGGGCATCAACGTGGTCGAGGGAAGTGGCAAGCCTGCGCTGACGCTTTCCCCCCGGCTATCGAAGTAGATGGAATCACTGGGATGGGAAACGTGTAATGCCAATCTCCGATTCCCTAAGAAGAAGTCCGGGCATGTTTTGAAGCCAGGGCATTACAATGCGCTCCTTGCGAATTATTGCAGGCTTGATCCGCACGCTGGTTGATGGGAGGCATTTTTTCAACCTGCGCTTGTTCTCATAAGTAAGGCTCACCGACCCATCTCCAGCTCTCAAAGAGATTGGGTGCAGATCCATTTGGGTTTCGCAAGGATTAGTTGGCTAAGTTTTTTGCAGGGTTGCAGTCAGCCCTTGTTGCGAGCGCCTTCCATTCTTGCCTTCATTCTAGACACCTGACATGTGCAACGCACCCTAAGTGTGCTCTCTCGCTCTCTCTCTCTCGCTCTCTCTCGCCTGTTGTCGGCGAAGTAATCGACTGGTGGGCCTGTCGTCTCTCTCGGAACCACCTGCCGCAAAGCATGGTGAGCAAGTTTCCCATGCTGAAATGGGCAACCAATTGCATGGCACGTGTTGCATTGCACTTGTTGCAACATTTTACCTGCACATCAACCGCACTGGCTCAAGCGACCATGTTCACGTCTGAGGCCTCTCAATGTAGTCCCGCTCGTACGCACAGCCATCAACGGTCGCGACGGGATCCGACCTTGGTCGGATGCGCAAGTAAGTTGAGAGGTATGACGGACAGTTTTTCCTCGTGTTTTCAACCTAGGTTGGGCAGGCGGACTGGGAAGGTAAATTTGGCCTTTTGCAATCTATGTTTGGTCTAGGGGCCAGGTTAGCCCACAGGTTATGCAAGCCCTATGGTAAACCGATCCTGGACTTGCTCCAGCTGTGCCCCCTTTGCACATGTGGCAGATTGCAATCGAGCTGAAGCGTCTAGCCCATCTCAAACTCTCGCTCGAGGCACTGGGTCCCGAGCATGATGGTGGCAGAGATCGGACAGAAGAAACCTCAGCACAGGGCAAACTGCTCGGAAGCAAATGCTTGGAATTTGGACATTAGTTGCAACGGCTGAGCCCCTCAAAACAGTTGATTTTCGATTGAAATCAAAGAACAAATGGGCCCAACTCATCCTGCCAATGCGCAACGCTGTTCATCACGGCTCGCATCAGGAAGTCAACAAAGAGGGGAAAATCCAGTGGACAAAATCAGCTCATTGTTTGCGCCAGGCCTCATCGCAAGGTGTGTCCCCAAGGTTCCCTCCCAAACTCTCTCATCGCTGGGTTGTCTCTAAACCAAATCCCAGCGGCGCAGGCAAAGCGCACAATCGCGCGGGGCAGCCCCGCCCAAACAAAGCACCCTTGCACCAGCACCCATCCACCCATCCACACATCCACCCATCCACACATCCACACATCCACACATCCACACACGCACGCACGCACGCACGCACGCACGCACGCACGCACGCACGCACGCACGCACGCACGCACGCACGCACGCAAAGAGCCACTCGGGTCGCTGAAAACAAAGGCCGCCGCTCCCCAGCACGCAGTACACAAGAACTGGAAAGCATGCGCGGGCCCGGAAGCAAAACAGGGCCCGAAAGCAAAACAAATAGCCAGCGCGGCGTATGATGTCAACAGCAGTCCGTGCGTGTGTATATATATATATATATATATATATATATGGTCACCCCCCCCCCATGATCCACATTTTGCCTCTTGCAAGCCAAAACACTGGAAAAACACATGTAAAATGCTTGTTTTTGACCACCTGTTCCAGGATCAGATTCTGATCCTGGAAACTTGGGTCAAAAACAAGCATCATTCTTGATGAGTAGATTAGTCAAAGATTGCGACATTCTTGATGGACAGATGTTAGGCAACTTGAAGCAGATGCTTACAGATGGTTTGTGTGGACAGCCTTCTGGAAAAAAAGTTAGCAGGGAGCAGATGGAACTTATGGAAGCAGCATGCAGAAAGTGCTGTACTGTCCCTAAAATCCAGGCTTTGGAGGCTGAAAGTGCTGTACTGTCCCTAAAAACCATTCCAAAAACAGTCTTGGGCACACAAACCTCCTTCTGGCAAGGAATTTTTGGTTTTTTAGGGACAGTACAGCACTTTTTTTGGTTTTTTAGGGACAGTACAGCAATTTTTTGGTTTTTTAGGGACAGTTGGTTTTTTAGGGACAGTACAGCACTTTTTTTGGTTTTTTAGGGACAGTACAGCACTTTTTTGGTTTTTTAGGGACAGTACAGCACTTTTTTGGTTTTTTAGGGACAGTACAGCACTTTTGAGCATCAGCATGCAGAAAGTGCTGTACTGTCCCTAAAATCCAGGCTTTGGAGGCTGAAAGTGCTGCACTGTCCCTAAAAAACCTAAAAAACCATTCCAAAAACAGTCTTGGGCACACAAGCCGCCTTCTGGCAAGGAATTTTTGATTTTTCAGGGACAGTACAGCACTTTTTTGTGTTTTTTAGGGACAGTACGGCACTTTTTTATGAGCATCAGCATGCAAAAAGTGCTGTACTGTCCCTAAAAAACTAAAAAAAGTTGCTGTACTGTCCCTAAAAAACCAAAAATCATTGCCAGAAGGAGGTTTGTGTGCCCAAGAGTGTTTTATGCTGATGCTCAAAAGTGCCGTACTGTCCCTAAAAAACCCAAAAAGTGCTGTACTGTCCCTAAAAAATCAAAAATTCCTTGCCAGAAGGCGGCTTGTGTGCTCAAGACTGTTTTTGGAATGTTTTTCTAGGTTTTTTTCCCCACATCTTTGTGTGGGGTTCTTACTTTTTCCGCTCGTCGTCCGCGCGCCGCGTCTCCTCCTCCTTCTCCCGCTCGTCTCCGTCTCACTCACTCACTCACTCACTCACTCACTCACTCTCACTCACTCACTTACACTCACTCAACTCACACTCACTCACTCACACTCACTCACTCACACTCAGTCACTCACACTCACTCACACTCACTCACTCACTCACTCACTCACTCACACTCACTCACTCACTCACTCACACTCACACTCACACTCACTCACACTCACTCACTCACACTCACTCACTCACTCACTCACTCACTCACGCTCACTCACACTCACTCACTCACACTCACTCTCATTCACTCACTCTCATTCACTCACTCACTCACTCACTCGCTCACTCACTCACTCACACTCGCTGACTCACGGCAGCTGTCTAGAGGGACAGGATGTTGTCGCGCGCGCGGCGGGGGGTGTGCGAAATCGTGGCAGGCGCAGCACTTTGGCGATGCCGTTGCGAAATCGTGGCAGGCGCAGCACTTTGGCGATGCCGTTGCCGAAGTCGTGGCAGGCGCAGCATTCTGTGCATCTGGGTGTGTGTTTGTGTGGCAGGGGTCGCATTCGGCAGCTGTCTAGAGGGACAGGATGTTGTCGCGCGCGCGGCGGGGGGTGTGCGAAATCGTGGCAGGCGCAGCACTTTGGCGATGCCGTTGCGAAATCGTGGCAGGCGCAGCACTTTGGCGATGCCGTTGCCGAAGTCGTGGCAGGCGCAGCATTCTGTGCATCTGGGTGTGTGTTTGTGTGGCAGGGGTCGCATTCGGCAGCTGTCTAGAGGGACAGGATGTTGTCGCGCGCGCGGCGGGGGGTGTGCGAAATCGTGGCAGGCGCAGCACTTTGGCGATGCCGTTGCGAAATCGTGGCAGGCGCAGCACTTTGGCGATGCCGTTGCCGAAGTCGTGGCAGGCGCAGCATTCTGTGCATCTGGGTGTGTGTTTGTGTGGCAGGGGTCGCATTCGGCAGCTGTCTAGAGGGACAGGATGTTGTCGCGCGCGCGGCGGGGGGCGTGCGAAATCGTGGCAGGCGCAGCACTTTGGCGATGCCGTTGCGAAATCGTGGCAGGCGCAGCACTTTGGCGATGCCGTTGCCGAAGTCGTGGCAGGCGCAGCATTCTGTGCATCTGGGTGTGTGTTTGTGTGGCAGGGGTCGCATTCGGCAGCTGTCTAGAGGGACAGGATGTTGTCGCGCGCGCGGCGGGGGGTGTGCGAAATCGTGGCAGGCGCAGCACTTTGGCGATGCCGTTGCGAAATCGTGGCAGGCGCAGCACTTTGGCGATGCCGTTGCCGAAGTCGTGGCAGGCGCAGCATTCTGTGCATCTGGGTGTGTGTTTGTGTGGCAGGGGTCGCATTCGGCAGCTGTCTAGAGGGACAGGATGTTGTCGCGCGCGCGGCGGGGGGTGTGCGAAATCGTGGCAGGCGCAGCACTTTGGCGATGCCGTTGCGAAATCGTGGCAGGCGCAGCACTTTGGCGATGCCGTTGCCGAAGTCGTGGCAGGCGCAGCATTCTGTGCATCTGGGTGTGTGTTTGTGTGGCAGGGGTCGCATTCGGCAGCTGTCTAGAGGGACAGGATGTTGTCGCGCGCGCGGCGGGGGGTGTGCGAAATCGTGGCAGGCGCAGCACTTTGGCGATGCCGTTGCGAAATCGTGGCAGGCGCAGCACTTTGGCGATGCCGTTGCCGAAGTCGTGGCAGGCGCAGCATTCTGTGCATCTGGGTGTGTGTTTGTGTGGCAGGGGTCGCATTCGGCAGCTGTCTAGAGGGACAGGATGTTGTCGCGCGCGCGGCGGGGGGTGTGCGAAATCGTGGCAGGCGCAGCACTTTGGCGATGCCGTTGCGAAATCGTGGCAGGCGCAGCACTTTGGCGATGCCGTTGCCGAAGTCGTGGCAGGCGCAGCATTCTGTGCATCTGGGTGTGTGTTTGTGTGGCAGGGGTCGCATTCGGCAGCTGTCTAGAGGGACAGGATGTTGTCGCGCGCGCGGCGGGGGGCGTGCGAAATCGTGGCAGGCGCAGCACTTTGGCGATGCCGTTGCGAAATCGTGGCAGGCGCAGCACTTTGGCGATGCCGTTGCCGAAGTCGTGGCAGGCGCAGCATTCTGTGCATCTGGGTGCTCTGTAATCGCATCCATACAAGGGGCGCACGGTACATGTGTGTGGACATTTGAACTCACATCCTTGGGAAAAACATAGCATGTGGGGTTATCCGGTCCTTTAATTAGGGACAGTACAGCACTTTCAGCCTCCAAAGCCTGGATTTTAGGGACAGTACAGCACTTTCTGCATGCTCATTCTCAAAAGTGCTGTACTGTCCCTAAAAAACCCAAAAAAGTGCTGTACTGTCCCTAAAAAACCAAAAAATCCTTGCCAGAAGGAGGTTTGTGTGCCCAAGACTGTTTTATGCTGATGCTCAAAAGTGCTGTACTGTCCCTAAAAAACTCAAAAAGTGCTGTACTGTCCCTAAAAAACCAAAAATTCCTTGCCAGAAGGAGGTTTGTGTGCTCAAGACTGTTTCTGGAATGGTTTTTTAGGTTTTTTTAGGGACAGTACAGCACTTTCTGCCTCCAAGGCCTGGATTTTAGGGACAGTACAGCACTTTTAAGCATGCAGAAAGTGCTGTACTGTTTTTTAAAATTGTGGATGTGGGAAGGCAGTAGCAGATGTTTGTCACTCCGACGAGCTGGCTTGCATTTTTCTTGCCTTTTTCCTTCGAGCGCATATCCGGTAATCACTGCTTGTGCAGTGCCTGCAGCATCTGGCCGGTCACCTCCCACATATTAGCGCGGCGATGCCAGTATTCAAACTGTGCGGATCTCAGCTTTCGCAAGAGAACCTGACTGCCGGGGATTCTATTCGTGTGTTTCAGGTGAGATCGAAGGGTGTTCCAGAACCGGTCGATGATCTGGGTGCCGCTCTTCACACGCACCTTCTTCCCGTCCGGCAGCTTGACGTCGTACTGCTTGGTGTAGTGGGGCTTCACCCAAACGGCCTGACAGACAGGAATAACAGAATCAAGTAGATCCCTTAAGAGGCAGTTAAAGCAGTTTAGGTCAGAGTTACTTGCCTTGCCGTTGATGACGATGCGCTTCTTCTTGTGCACGACGTTGCAATGCCTCACGTCCGGCAACCTGAGCTTGTAGGCTCTGGCCCCATCGCTGTGGAGGATGACTTTCCGGCCCGCGATGTGCTTTTTCGCAATCGGCTGCCAGTCCCTCTTCCTGATGGGACCTGGCCCCGGAGATCTCTTTTTGGTGAGGATGGGGTTGAGCCTGAAGAGCACCAGCGAGGATGGCCTTCCTCGCTCCACGAGTCCACCCCACTGTTCCCATTTCGTGTTGAGGTTTCCCGCCACGCTCTCGTCGGTCAACTTGCCAATGTCGACCTCGTCCACCTCCACGTCCTCCCACTTCCCGCCGAAGACAATGTCCTTCTCCTTCTGGGTGACGTACTGCGAGCGAGCGACCTCCAGGTTGTGGTAGATGCGCTCCACTGGCTTGTGGTCCATATCCAGGAGCAGGTGCGCCGCATTGCTTGGGACCCCCACCACCGCGCAGAAGAGGACCGCCACCTGCTTCTGAAGTGGAGTTGAAGAATTGCCAGCAGACATGAAGAAGATGGGATGGTAGTCATGAGGCTGAAGTTGCTTGTGGCAGGCACGCTTCTTGCACCGGTACGCCCAAATCTTCTTGTCATGGTAATACTTCAGGCCATTACGCCGTTGCCACATCGAGGGCAAGTTCTGCCTTCCCAGTCTGTGAGGATCTTGTCCTTGTGGAGCTGCTTGTGGAGACGCTGTCCAGTCAAAGATTCCCAAGTCAAAATCGAACGCCCCCAGCGCGCTCTGTGGCCTTTGTTCTTGGTAGTGGGCATGCCATGGCGGACATATGGCACCGGAGCAGGATTCTTTGAGGCAGGCCTTCGCTGCACGCGCCACTTCCCCCGCTTAGGATCTGGGAACTTGGCCTTCACGGACTTCATGACCTTCTTTGGCATGATGGGCAAGATCAACTACAAAGGATCAAGGCGATTGAAGCAGATGGCTGCGTAAACGATCAATGCGATTCGCTTCCAAGCAACATGTGCAAGCAAGATGGCACTGGAGACCTAATGTTTTTTTAGCCAAGCTCCATGTCTCTATTGGGTTTATATTTCTATCTTCTAGAACAAAACCCGCTGAGTGCGGCTCACACGCGGCTCAGTTGTCGTCAATGTCCATGGCATCCGCGAGTTCTTGGGAAAGGGTTCGGTATGCCTCGATGTCATACTGGTCGGGAATCTCGTCCATAGGGTCCACCACATGAGGAGAAGAAGCCGGCAAAGGCACAAGGACCTTGGTCTCATCCACCACATCGGCTGCTGGAGGAGCTGTAGGGTCAGAAAGCTTCTCCACACATTCCACCGCATCAGCTGCAGCCGGTGCAGCAGAGGCTGGGTCACTTGCATCCTCAGACGTGTCTGACAGGTTGATCACCAGAGGGCGCAGGTTCAATGGCTTGGAAAAGTAGGAGGGATCCACTGGCTCTTGCTTGATGTGCACCTTATGCGTCTCCTCTGGTTCTTCTTTGATACCCTGCACGTCCTCATCCTTCTCTTCTTCTTTTGTTTTCTGCTCATCCTCGTCCTTCGGCTCGTCTTTGGCATCCTGCGCATCTTCGTTCTCCTTCTGTTCTTCTTTTGTTTTCTGCTCATCCTCGTCCTTCGGCTCGTCTTTGGCATCCTGCGCATTCTCGTTCTTGATCTCCTTGAGCAAGTTGGAAGAGGACTTCACAGATCGAAGCTTCTTAGTGGGCGGCTCGTCGACGGCAGCGCCAGCATCCAGGTAGTACTTGGTCTTGCCCTCAATGCCCGCGAGTGTTGGTCGATCTTCAATGACGTACTCCCTTCCTGAGAACAGTTCTTTCCCACGGGTGGTCGCACAATAGCGGACCTCCTCGCCATCCAGCGCAGCCTGCAGCAAGTTCAAACTCCACTGCATGTCTTTGTCATGATCTGCCGGCAAGTGAGAGAGGTTACCGCGCTTGTAGGCAGCCAAAAGGGGTCGGGCAGATGGAGAGATCATGCCAATATCCCGCTCTGGCCAGGCATACCGGGGAACGGGTTTGCGGTCTGTGCCTGGCACACGTACGTACATGCCCACATCGGTGAAGACGATGAAGGTGGATCGCTTGAAGACACCGACAAGGTCCTCTTCATCGAAGTCCCTGTGGAAGGAGGGGCGCACGATCTTGTAGAACTGCTCGAAGGTCACGGTGTCCTGAGTCGAATTGGCGTCCATCGGCGGCTCTGCAGTCCTGTCATAGGGATTACTGCAAATCTGGCATAGCTGATTCTTCGCGTACGAGGACGCGTTGTATCTTGCCATTGTCTTCCTGTCGACGCCGTCCACCTCCGTCACTGCCTTAACACCTGCGGGATGCTCCAGGTTGAGGTTGCCATCATCAAACACCCTCGGTTTCGTCCGCCTGCCCTTCTCCTTGCGGAAGTAGTCGAGGTGGTTGCATGTCTGAAAGCAAGGGCTGCCCTCCTTCTCTTCCTGAATCAACCAATATGCGGACACCACAGATGAGAGGGTGTAGGACACCGGGCTTTTACCCACCTGAGACTTGCCAATCCAGATAACGGAGTGGGACATCACATGAGGAAGAATCGGTGCAAGGATAGTGTTCAAAGCCCACGGCGTGATGCTCTTGAAGGTGAGAGGCCACTCCTTGATCGTATTAGCTTGAGAGCCTTGGTCCGCGAGGCACCTCAGGAACTCCTTGATGGTCCCCTTGTCCCACTTGTGGAGCGGGCCGTTCGGATCGTTGACCTGCTCCTCCGTCCACACTGTGAATTGCCCGTCGGAGTTTTCTTCCGGGCCAAACTGACGGATATAGGCGAAGCCCTTGCGGATGTCCTCCGTCTCTTTGGGCATTTTGCTCGAGGCACCGGCGGACACGAGCTTCTGGTAGCGGACCTGGAAGCCGCCCAGCCCCTCGAGCATGTACTGTAGTCCTCGACCACCATCGCGGCACTTGCCCTGCAAGTCGATCTCGAGTGGAACGCCCTGGCAGATGATGGAGCTGTGGAGGACCTTTGCACCTTCTAGGAATTTGATGTGCTTAATGATGTCTTTCTTGCCCCCTTCCTTGGGGATGATGAAAATCTGCATGTTGTAGGGGGCCTGGAAGTTCCCCTTCATGCGCACGGGCTCGGGTAGGTCGGCATACCGTTGTTGAAGGAACATTGTCTCTACCGCATTCAAGTCAATAGGCCCTTCGTGGTCAGCAATGACATCGAGGAACTGCGTCTTCTTTTTCACGGAGTCGGTGATTTCCATTTTAGCTGGCAAATCGCCTAGCTTAATGGAACCGGGCTCCTTGTTCACCACCATTGGCTTCTCCAGGTAAAGGATCTTCATGCCGTCGGTGTGGGCGATGGCTTCCTCCAATGTGCAGTTGCCGTCCAGGTTTGCGTTGTCGAAGGAACGAGCCAGCGACTCAGCACGATGAGGAGGCACAGATGCCATGATTGGAGCAGAAGGGAGTATCAGGAAGTTACCTCAAATTGAAATGGCTGCAGCAGAGTACACGGAAATTTGATGAGCTTGAGATGCAAGCAGTATGTTAATAGCCTCCATTGGGAGTTGGGCTAATAGTACTTCAGCCATTAGTTACACACTGCGGGGTCAAACTAAGGAGCCAGAGCTGAGACCACACACTGCAGCCATACCAAATGTGGATCATGGGGTTGGAATATCAGAAAGTTGCCCAGCTTTGCAATGGATGCAGTATAGCACAAGGAAACTTAATGAGCTTGATATGCAAGCAGACTCAGGCGTACATGGTCAGCAGGCTTTTTTCCTTGCGGCTTGGAAAACTGAGAGAGTAAAAGCAGTCCTAAGGACTGTCCCATAAAAAACTATGGCAAATGCCTCTCACTCATAATCAAGCCAAGTTCATTCTCTTGGAGGACGGTCTCCTCGCTCGCGCTGATCTTGAAGTGCAAGCCTTCGAAGCTGAACACTTCCGATCCTTAGATGGGCAAGAGCAGAAATGACAGCAGAAGGACCCCATAAGAAACTGCAGTTTTCGACTCGATGAAATCGGCCAAGTAGCCACATGGTAGATAACCTACTTTTGTAGGCCATCTGGATGGAGCGATAGGGCTCGGCGTGGCGCTCGTTGCCATGGCTGTTATTATTTTAACAGCCTCCATTGGGAGACGGGCTAAGAGTACTTCAGCCATTCAAATTAAGGAGCCAAAGCTGAGACCATACACTGCAGCAATGCCAAATGTGGATCATGGGGGGGGGGGGTGAGCATATATATATATATATACATATATATATATGTAAGTGTCTTGTAATATTTCTCTGTCGTGCAAGTTTTCTTGCGCAAGTTGCTTCACTAAAGTGCTCTGTGGAAGCGCTCTTTGAAAGTTGCTCTGCGCAAGCGCTATCCCACCGCTACACGGTGCCAGCCAGCGGCGCTTACACGGTGCGCTGCGCTCTCGGCACGCTTCTGGCGATGCTGCCGATCCTTGCTTTAAACGAGAACCGCAGCCCAAAAGAGTTTTTCGGAAAACATAGATTTTAAGCGCCTGGTAAAAGCAAACATGTTTCAAATGGGGCAGTCGACTCCCTTCAAAACCAACCAACAAGGGGAAAATAATAATAAGAAGCCAAACAACACACTTCAGCAAAGCTACCGCATTCCTATAGGGATCGGCCAATTGGCGAGCATTGTGTCCACCCTCCGGACCTGCGAGTCAGCTGCTTGGGCCCCGGCTTTCGGGCACTGGCATCAGCCGGATGCTCTGGTCCTGGCGCCAATAATTTGCGCCGAATGTGAAACCTGTGCGCTTTGTTGGTTGCATTCTCTAGGCTGGAATTAGGACCCCAGCAAAAATAATCTTTTTTGCCTGGATAGTGGAAAACAAAGGGACCCCAAAAAAGCAAACAAAAATCTGGGGAGCTGATTCTGGGGAAGTTATTTTGGGTCACCTGAATCACTCGAACTAGAAGCCGGGACAAGCCAAACGATGAGCACAGCTCACTCCGGCCTCGTCCAGGAAGTCCGCCTCGATGCTGAAGTACCGGGCCGCGCCCTCGCCCCAGCGCTCCCCGTACTCGGCCTCGCAGGTGAAACCATCCGGGCTGGACACCGGGGCAAACCTGGGGGTGGGGGGGGGGGGTGGGGGGGGGGAATATCCATCCCCTTGATGTCTGGTGCAAAAACGATGGTTTTAAGAAGGGAGTGGTCTCAGCGTATGGAAAGTTGTCCCTCCCCTTTGGCCGCCGGCTCCACATGGTGTGCAAAGAAACGCGCCGAGGATGGTATGGAAGGATTAAGCGCGCTCCCGTTTCGAGTGGTTTGGCGGTAGCGAAACTCGACCAAACCCCTGGAAGCGCTCCAACTTTGCGCTTCATTGGAGCGACACGTTGCTCGGAGTTTTCAAATCGAAGCACAGAGAAAAGGTCCTTACACACAGTATGTTCCTCCAGCTGGTTTGTCTGAACTTCAATCTTGAGCAGTGACCAACATCAAATGTCAGAAACAATTATATGGTATTGTGGGAATTCAAGCTGCACAGCTCCTGCAGGCTTCCGCTTCCACAGCGAGAGCACATTTGGAACAACGGCCCATTTCAGGCGAAGCTGTCGCACGCAAGATGCCTCTGTGCGTCAACCGCCATGGTCCCAGCATGGTGTCCTGACCCGACAAAGCCCCAACCCCCCTGCCCCCCCGTAGCGGCCCTACCATGCACAGCGTCACCCTCCGCAACTGTTGTCCCTGCCATCCAAAACGCGATGGAATGCGTATCATTCGCATTGCACCACAGCGAGAGCGCATTTTTGCAACAAGGCGTATTTCGTGCGAGACAGTCGCGCCGAAGGCAACTTTTCGCGTGCCCTGAACGCGACAGGGCCAACAAAAACTTGCTGGTGCTCAGCAGGGAATTAGGGAATGACCGCTGTAACCAGCCGTTGTGGATTCCTTTCAGGGGACCAAAGCCTTTCCATTTCTCACTCCCTACCGATTTCGCAGGACGTAAACTCCAGCGACTCCCATCCCTGGTGTTGTAACCCCCCCAAAAAAACAACAAAACACATTCCCAATGCAACCCAAAATTCAAACCTAACCTCAACCAAACTTCCCTCCACCAAAAAAAGCAAAACAGCTCAGATCACTCGCCCAGCGCGTCGAATCGACCCGAGGCGACCCGAAGCGAAAAGCGAGCCGCGCCTGGCGGCCCTGCCGCGCCGCCGCGTGGTAGTTCAGAGGCTCCGCCGAGTCCATGGAGCTGCCCGGGACGCCTCGACGACTGCGGCGAGCGAGGCGCACGACGCGAAGTTCGAGCGAATCGGGGCGGGAGCGGGGGGGGAGGGGGGGGACGGTGGAGAGGTTCCCTTTGTAAAGGGTTGAGGTTCAAAGTGGTTGATATGATTTATGATGTACATGTTCCAATTTGCTTGGGATGGTTGAATTGTCAGCTGGTGTTGCAGTGACTTGTTGGTTGCTCTTCTTGTGTCGGATGTTAATTCAAGATGTTTCAATAGTGTTCGGACATTGTGAAGATTGGATTTCAACATGCCGCTGCAATCTTTCAATTCGACAGGTGTCGTTGTTGGGCCTCGTAAAGGTGTGAGCATAGTCAAAGCCTGAAAACTGGATGACTGAAGTGCGGAGCCGAGGCACTGGTCATCCCGACGCTGTCCTGCGCATGCGAACAGGTGTTCGTTTTAGACGAACTTGGCAGGGCCTGAAGAGAAGAAGTCGACGGACGAAATCCATTTCGCGCCTAAACGGATCTTGGAAGGATGATTCCCCTATAAATACCAACAAACTATGGTTTCCCGATGGTTTTCCAAGCGGTGCAGGATTCTGTCCATCCACAGTATGAACTGAAGGTTTTTCGGGGGAATAAAAGTTAAACCGCACCTTCTCCATTCCTTTTGTGAGGCTTCAAACACATGCTAAAACCTGAGGAAAAGGCAAGTGTCCGACGATCATGTGAACAGAATAGGTGCTTGCACATCCTATTTAGGAAACCAAGCTTGCACACCCTAGCCCCAAGTCGCTCTTGCTCTGCACAAGACAGGCCGCAGCTCTTGCACACGCAACACATGGTGGGCTGGGGCAGTTCGACATGTAACGTTGGTGCAATTACGCCAGGCGAAGGCTACGGGGAGAACCCCAAATGCCGCATTTCCGATAGGACAGCCTGGAGCCAATCAATCCGCACTGCTATTTGGCGATGCTACCGAGACTTGGAGGTCCCGCCATCCTCTGAACAGGGCAAGTTATGAACCCTCAGGGATATAACTAAACATATACATATATATATATACACATATATCTATATTGAGAGAAAGAGAGAGACGTATTTGGATCATATGTAATTATTCCTGCTGTTTCAACCTGCCGTGAAAAACTTAGGGTGCAAGGCTCTTCGAGCCATCTCAAACTGGGGCCCAGCTGTATGGGACTCTGGCGGGTCGAAACCAACAACTGCTTGTTGTCGTTTGTTTCCGCCTCCAAAAACCTGCTTGACACAAGGGCCAAGTTCTTCGGCGACTCGTTGGACGCACATTCGAGGGTCCATGGAGGTTTGGAGCTCTGGAGGCTGCTCTGCCACAAAGGAGATCGATTCGGCACGCGCCCATCCTTAAACATGGAACCTCTTTCTCCTTTCCTCATGGTTCCTTGTTTTTAGTGGACCAAAGCGTACTTCTTGAATCTTTAACCAGTGGCTGCGCATTTTGACGGCGAGCACCCTCAAACATGGTCGGTGGACGTAAGTCCCTCTGTACATGGGGTCCACCAAAGGATCACTTTAAAAAGACAAGAATCATATGTTGACTCGGTTGCTTTCTGCTCTGCTAGAAGTTTAACTTTTGGTGGTTTAATGGAAAACCCACTAGTTGGCAAAAAGTTAAAGTCCTAACATCCAAGCAACATGCACGGATTTTGTTTACCCAAAAGCGCAATTCATGATCAGCGGCCCGTCGCCTTGCAGACCCGCTCCATGCGCGTGCTTTCGGTGTATCCGGGTCTCACAGCTTTGGGGGGTGCTGACCCTCGTCGCTTGGATAGCTCGTTTGGGATGGCTTCAGAAACCTTGACAAAATGCAACCGGGAAGGGTTGACCTGAGTCATAATCAAAACCCGGTAATAAGATGGTCTACCTCCGACCATGTAAAGAACTATAAAGGCGGCCGCAGCCGTTTATATGCGGCTCACCTGTCTTGACTGAACTAACTTCTCACATTGCGATGTGGCATCCCAATTCATGCGGAAGGAATTGTTCGCACATGAGGTAAGCAGTGGCTGTGCTTTGTGCTTCACGGCGCATGACGCATCTTGATCCCGCTCAGCGCTCATGACACCAATTCAACTGAACCCTGACTCCCGAGCATGTCAAGCAATACCCCATCATGTCTTGCTGCATTTGCTCACCATGCACTTGTTGCGCCCCTCGAACACATCAATGTTGCTCAGTTGCCTACATGTGCATATACGCATATTATATCTGAGCCTTCAACATTAAAAGGTGATGGAATATCTCTGGAGCCTTCCTTTACTGGGTGTTAGCCCTATTCCACCCGAACATATGTCCTCGAGGAGGAGTATTTTGGGGATCCCTCATGTGTTTGCATATCTGGGCTGCTCTCAGATCCGCCTCTAAAAGTTTAACTTTTAGTGGGTTAAATGGAAACTACCACTAAACACTAAAAGGCTAAAAGGCTAAGGAACCGGACGGCCGGGAGCCACCAAGATCTGTATATTGTTGCCGTGTGAGTTGTGGTCTTTTTGCCGCTTTTCCCCACGAGCTGAGTGAACGGCATTTCACGCGCGCGTGTGCGCGTGATCAACTTTCACATCTCCAGGCTCAACGAGAGTCTCCTGCAATGTAGCCAAAAGCCCCCAGTGAACATCCCAATCCCCACTTAAAATGGGCGGTGAATTCACCTACCCCAAAATGGGATCCCATTGGTTTTGACCCACAGCCATGCGAATACGCCCAGCTAGGACGCTTCTTTCTCAGTGGGCCTGTGTTTTTCGAGGGTAGCATTTGTTGTGGCTTTACTTTATGTGATGCTCAAGTGGAAAACCAAAAGAAAACCACAATTTTGGGGTCCCCTAGAAACGACAAGCAAACACCCAAGTGTGCAAAAACCCTGCCCTGAAGTGTTACCCTCGCACCCGCTCACACGGTGAGGGGCAACCACGTCAACTTTGCGGAGGGCAACGTGGGGATGGAAATTCACTTCCGGAGGGGAAAACCCCCATATTCACAAACAGGGGTATTTCTTTCAACATTACATGGAATTGAATTGTTACTGAACAAAAGAGCTGGAACAACTGGCAGCAAAGGCAACGTCTTGCCAGCCTTTGCACCCCCTTTTTGCTGCCGTGCCTGTGAAAAGGGCGCAACCATATCATACTGCCCATGCAAAAACTTCTGCGCTAGTTGTCATACGTGACACCCTACCAATTATGATATAAACCGCCTAATTGCCAAGCTCTGCGCAGCGCATGTTGTCCGTCCACAGTACGAATTGTGAATCTCCTTTTCCGTTCAAAAAGGTTTAAGGGAACACCAAATCAAAGTAACAAATCTAAACATATGTCCCTCTCAGACCCAAAACAAAACAACAAACCGAAATGTATTTGCTTCTCAGAAAAAAAAGGAAACAAATCAAAGTAACAAACCTAAATCTACTTCCTTCTCAGACGCAGAAGGACCAGCTCTGGGCTCGCGGTTCACTTCCATCCGGCCCGGCCGCGGCGTCCTCATGAGCACGTCCAAAGCCAAGGTGAGTTCTTCGACCTGCGACGGGTCGAAGCTCACGGCCCCTCCGATTGAGGGTTCCCTTCAAAGGCCCCTCCATCAAAACCTGGGAGCCCCGAGGAGCCTTGGAACCTAAGCATCCATCATAAGAATGATGGAAGACCCATCAATCCGTGAAAAGCATCCCTGAAGCCCCATCCTTGTGTCCACCCCTAGGAGCCCAGTCGAACCCTGAGTATGAGGGCCCACCCCCAAAAAGGCATGAAATCATGGAGGTCTTGGAATGTCTTGGGCATGGAAATCCAACTGCCCCAAAAACAGCAACACCGACCATTTCACAAACAGACTCCAGTGGCAGGTTCATGTGGCTCTATGCCAGTAAGTACTGGCGCCTTATGGACTTTGCTGCGAGCCAATGCGTGAGATGCACCACCTCATTCAGAGCGGCCGATTGGTTTTGTCCAGAGTTACCCGACCAACGCCTTGCGCTTCTCCGCATCAATGTCCTGCCGCGATCAGTCTGGTCTCTTTGTCTAGAAAACGGTTTTGATGTGACATGTGTGGATCCACCCCTGTAGGATAGTAAAAGAGTACTCCAAAAGTACAAAAAAGAACCTATATACAGGGGGAACATAATGCAACGTAAAATGCGCAAATCCAAGCCGTTTTCTAGACTTTGCCATCCTTCAAAAGGGGGGGTTTGGGGTGGGTTTAGAGTGGGTTGGTTTGGGGGTAGGGTTAGGCTTGGTTCAGGGTTTTTCGGGTGGGTTTAAGATTCGTGTAAGCTTGGTCATACTGTCCTTTTCATTTCCTCCTGTCCACTTCCATTCGAACGAGTCTACGCTTTGGGCCTGGCATTCAATCAGGGAAGCGGACCCCGCTTCGGTGCTTTGAAAAGCGGATTCGGAGCATGTTCAAATGGCTGTGGGTCAAAAATAGGTACCCAAAATGGAACCCAGGTAAATGGAACCAAGGACTAAAACCTGCGGGCCCCTCCATACCCATATCCAAGCACCACTGAACCAAACGCTCCCTGGAAGACCGAAGGCTCCACTTGAAGGGACAGTCTCTGGCGCATGTGCCCAGGCTTGCACAATGGCAACGTGGAGGTTGGCTTGGTGCCTCTTCAGGAGTAGCTTGCCACATGGCCAGAGGCTTTGAAGATGTCAGCGTTTGGAGTTGGCATTGCGCGCATTGGACGCCCAATGAACACTTTGACCATCCCCAAAAATATTGTGCCCCAACAAAAAGAGGGTCTTGAGCAGGCCTGGATTTCATGTGTTGGCTCCTGGCTTCTGAGATTCTGGCACCTTTAGCATACCAGTGCACTACTACGCATGTAATGTAAATACAAGTGGACCCTCCATCTTAATTTGCTAACGTCCCCTGTGGGTCAGTTTTTCGCATCCAGTCAAGCAAAAGACGCGCTCCCCTTACTTGTGGTCTGTCTGATTTATGCGACTGGACAGACCCGTGGCAGTTGAAACCACAAAAGTGCTGGGCCCCCCCCCCCGTACTGGGGAAGGGGATGACCCTATGTGTTTTGTGTCCTGAACTCAGGCAAGTTTCAGCTACAAAGCCTTACTGGGTCATTTCTCAAGCAAGCATTGCACTATTTGAGGGGCACACGTAAAATCTCGGCTGCTTTCTGCTCCCCATTAAAAACTTTATCTTTTGGTGGTTTAATGGAAAACCCATTAGTTGGCAAAACATGTTACAGTCCTAACATCCAAGCAAAATGCAAAGAAATGGCAAGGGCATCGCGATGGTAGATCCCTCCAAAACGGAATATATCAGGCCGCTGCGAAGCCAACATACCCTCAGTCTCCTCGGCTCCCTTTGGCAGGCTTCAATGCTTGACGTGACATGAGCCACCAGTCTGCGGTCTCACGAACTTTACAAGAACCAATCATCACGGGTCTGTCTGGGCTGTTCGCAGACCTGCTAAAAGTGTTCATGTTTCAAACCCAAAAACCCCTAAGACTCTGAAAGCCCAAAACCCAAGTCTTGGTAAAGCCTTGCCAACAGCGCTTTGTTTAGTGCAGCCCCCCCCCCCCCGCAAAAATGGACAAAAACACCTTCCCCCTCCCTAAAAAAAACAACAACAAACAAACACATAACAAGCACGCACAACCCAAAACCCAAAACCACTTGCCAAGCTCACGGCTTCCGAGCAACTCCCAAAACCAAAACACACAAACAACAACGTGGCCCACCCCCCCCCGCCAAAAAAAAACAAAACACGACCAAAAAAGATTGGCCCACCCACCCGCCAAAAAAACAAAACAAAACACAACCAAAAAAGATTGGCCCACCCACCCCCGCAAAAAAACAAAACAAAACACAACCAAAAAAGATTGGCCCACCCACCCGCCAAAAAAACAAAACAAAACACGACCAAAAAAGATTGGCCCACCCACCCCCGCCAAAAAAACAAAACAAAACACAACCAAAAAAGATTGGCCCACCCACCCCCGCCAAAAAACAAAACAAAACACGACCAAAAAAGACTGGCCCACCCACCCCCGCCAAAAAACAAAACATAACACAACCAAAAAAGATTGGCCCACCCACCCCCGCCAAAAAACAAAACAAAACACAACCAAAAAAGATTGGCCCACCCACCCCCGCCAAAAAAAACAAAACACGACCAAACAAGATTGGCCCACCCACCGCCAAAAAAACAAAACAAAACACGACCAAAAAAGATTGGCCCACCCACCCCCGCCAAAAAACAAAGCAAAACACGATCAAAAAAGATTGGCCCACCCACCCGCCAACAAAACAAAACAAAACACGACCAAAAAAGATTGGCCCACCTACCCGCCAAACAAACAAAACAAAACACAACCAAAAAAGATTGGCCCACCCACCCGCCAAAAAAACAAAACAAAACACGACCAACAAATATTGGCCCACTCACCCCCACCAAAAAACAAAACAAAACACAACCAAAAAAGATTGGCCCACCCACCCCCGCCAAAAAACAAAACAAAACACGACCAAAAAAAATTGGCCCACCCACCCCGGCCAAAAAACAAAACAAAACACGACCAAAAAAGATTGGCCCACCCATCCCCGCCAAAAAACAAAACAAAACACGACCAAAAAAGATTGGCCCACCCACCCCCGCCAAAAAAACAAAACAAAACACAACCAAAAAAGATTGGCCCACCCACCCCCGCCAGAAAAACAAAACAAAACACAACCAACAAAGATTGGCCCACCCACCCCCGCCAAAAAAAACAAAACACGACCAAACAAGATTGGCCCACCCACCCGCCAAAAAACAAAACAAAACACAACCAAAAAAGATTGGCCCACCCCCCCCCCACCCCCGCCAAAAAAAACAAAAACACAACCAAAAAAGATTGGCCCACCCACCCCCGCCAAAAAACAAAACAAAACACGACCACACAGATTGGCCCACCCACCCCACCCCCGCCAAAAAAAACCAAAACACGACCAAAAAAGATTGGCCCACCCACCCCCGCCAAAAAACAAAACAAAACACGACCAAAAAAGATTGGCCCACCCACCCGCCAGAAAAACAAAACAAAACACAACCAACAAAGATTGGCCCACCCACCCCCGCCAAAAAAAACAAAACACGACCAAACAAGATTGGCCCACCCACCCGCCAAAAAACAAAACAAAACACAACCAAAAAAGATTGGCCCACCCCCCCCCACCCCCGCCAAAAAAAACAAAAACACAACCAAAAAAGATTGGCCCACCCACCCCCGCCAAAAAACAAAACAAAACACGACCACACAGATTGGCCCACCCACCCCACCCCCGCCAAAAAAAACCAAAACACGACCAAAAAAGATTGGCCCACCCACCCCCGCCAAAAAACAAAACAAAACACGACCAAAAAAGATTGGCCCACCCCCCCCACCCCCGCCAAAAAAAAACAAAACACGACCAACAAAGATTGGCCCACCCCCCCACCCCCGCCAAAAAAAACCAAAACACGACCAAAAAAGATTGGCCCACCCCCCCCACCCCCGCCAAAAAAAACCAAAACACGACCAAACAGATTGGCCCACCCACCCCCGCCAAAAAACAAAACACAACCAAAAACTCGAGTGGTTTCCATGGACTCGACTCGAATCAAATTTGCTCCTCCATGACTCGCAGTCGAAAGACCCGGGCCAGGAGACTCTTGGCCTCCTCGCGGCTTACGACGGCGGCTGGAAAAACCGGACGGCCGAGGGTCAGGGGGCTGTTTTCAACTTGGAACTCAGATGCCCAGATTTCAACGGGGAAAAAGAAAAAGGAACAAAGGACATCCTTTTCTTTTGGTAGGCCGAGTTTAGAAAAGCAGAACCCTTCCCCCAAAAAAGGAAAAAAGGGCGCCTCTGCGGGCAACTGAGGGAGTTGGACGTCTGAAAATGGCGGTGTTTGAAGGAAGGTAGAGAGGATACCATCAAAAATGCCTACACCGAGGTGGCCAGGGCTTCCTCAGGTTTCATTTAGGTGCTTCGGTGCTTCCCCTAGACCAAATTTGGCACCTAGCAGGGCCCAAAACCGTTCTAGCCCAGCAAATCAGGGAGTGTGTTGAAGTCAAAACAAACACACGGGGAAACCCAAATGAAACCGAGCCCGTGTTGAGGGATTGCCCCTGGATAATGAACGCTTAGGATTGATTTTGCAACCGCCTTCAGCTCGCGAAAAACAACCACATGTATATAAATACATATTATGATATAGTCTCAAAGTGTCCGCCCCCCCCCCCCCCCCAATTTGAGACAAACCAACCTACCATCCCATCCCCCAACACCCATTGACCTTTGGTTCTACCAAGATGGTTTTCAACGGTTCAAATCGCCACCACAAGACATGTAGACAAACCCATCTTACGAAGGATGGCTTTAAAAGCTTCACATTGCCACCACAAGACCATGTAGACAAATCAACTTTACCAAGGATAGGTCTTAAATGTTCACATAGGCCTTACTATCCTTTCTACCACCACCATAAAACCAGGTAGTAAACAAACCACATGTTTACTGTAGTCCTTGCAAAAACCAAGCAGGACCACTGGACAACACCCATCCGGCCTCTTTGGAAGAAGACTGCGCGGCGCGAACCTCCTCCCGAGACAAACGCAGGACCTGCCGAGGTGCGGTTGAAGCATCGCCACAGAAATTGGATTATGTATTTTTGGAGGGTAGCCCATTTTTTATGGTCTTCTATGGCTTCCTCTAATACCTTTCTGCGACACCTAGCAGCTCGCAACTGTGACTAGAAAGCGCTGAGCCTCTTTTGGTCCCGCCACATGGGGCGGCATCCCCATTTTCCTGCTTCTAATCACCCGAGAAGAGCCACCAGGCGTGAGGATGGGGTCTTCAGCCTCCAGGGCTTTTGCGGAGAGCCTTGGAAAAGGACAGAGTGCTCAGGGAAATCCAGCGTCCCTTCGCCGTTTTTTTTTTTTTTTCCTCGGATTTGCGGATTGGAGGTTAGGGATGGCTTGCCCAGTTAGATTCTACAAGAACCAGAGGTTCAAATCAGCACCAACCAAACCAGCAAAAAAGCAACACTGGGGGTAAAAGGGCGCTACAGAGAGAATTTTAAACCACCATGCCAAACCAGCAACAACGCGGAACCTGAGAGATCAGCTGTCGAAGGGAACAACTGTGGATTGCTGGCCACCTTGGGCTCGAGCAGCCATTGATCATACAGCTCCCTGGTTCCCAAACGTCTATCTCCGCACTGCTATCTATAACAACTTTGACTTGGCAATCCTACCAAGCAACTCAACAAGTCTCAAAGGGCTGGAGCATGAGAATCCCTTATTGATGGCTGATGTCTTGGTAATTTGACGTACATATACTTACATAATTATACTTTCTATTGCTCGTTGCCTTCCTGTTAAACAAAGAGCAACACATGCGTTGCGTGTCCCCTCAGCTAGTTACGCCCCCCAACCTCCCGGCCTCATAGCAGCGCTCCAGAGTCATGCTACGAGGATCCAGGCCACCCTCCGCCTGCAACGCTTCCGTTTTGGGTTTTGCCTCTCGAAAACCCAAGGGTCGTGAACTCCTGGCATGACGCTTGTGCCATGCGTTTGCGCCAAGTTCTAGATTGATCTTGGAAACATTTTCAGCAGCAGGGGGCGGCAGGGAGACCACAGTGCTGTCAGCGAAGACGGCTGCGGGATTTGTGACCACGGGATGGCTGTGTATGACCAACGTTTGCAAGGGACGCGGTGTGTGTGTGTGTGTGATACAGTGTTAATCTCTGGCCTCAGTTTGGTAAAGGCTGCCTCAGTTTGACGTTTGCTTGCTGGCTTGCCAGGGCGGGTCATGGGGGAAAACCAATTAATAAAAATCGATTGTTTCGCTCGCTCAAAGTCAGGGCTCCCCAACCCCAACCCCCGAAATCGTGAAACCCGAAGCAAGAGCCACGAACTGTCGACGTGCAAGCTGTCGACACCTGTTTATCCCTCATTCCCGCCTGCTGCTGCATGCCGCCTGACTCTGAGATGGCCGAAGAAGTGATGACCCTCGGCGGCAGGTTCCCAAAAAGCGCAAGCAGGTGCTGCAACGAGCACAGCCAATTCGGAGGTTGGTTTGTGCAAACCGCCAGTGGAAAAATTGTGGGCCCTACACATGCTTGGCTTCATTGTTTCACTCAAAAGCCAGCTCAAAGGGGGGTCCACAACTCTGAGAAACCTTCCCCTCCAATATCTCCCAATCGGGTGCGCAGCAGCGCCATGACCACTATGGGTTCTAGGGATGCTAGGAGTTGACTTGGTCTTTCTTGGGGCTTGCTTAGCTGCCAGGTTCGGCTATTGAATCCTGCGCCTTGGTTTCATTGTCGCCTCGCTTTGCGGGTCGCTCGTGCGTGGAAGGATAAGGGTGCTCAAACTAGGCAGACCGCGATTTTGGGATGGTTTTGATGGGGCTGGGGCTTCAAAAGGAAATGATCTGGTTGGCCCGGCCAGATGCTTGTGCGTGGTTCAATCCAAAGGTCCTATGGGGATGTCACATAACCATCTCAAGAACTCCGATGTTCAAACTGAATTCATGCCCGCCAATAGCCGCACGAAACTCCACAAAGCTGACCGAAAGCAAGCTAACCCGTACCAGAGCGAACCCCAAACCAAATCCAACCAAACACCAGTTGCAACAAAGCCACAGCAAAGCCAACTTCCGCCAGAGGCAGGCCGTTACTCACTTCCGATCAAGTGGATGGCCAAACAAAGAAACCACTCGTTTCAAAGAGGGTTGAATATCACTAAAATAGTCCAAGCCCAAGAAGTGACATTTCAGTCCTAAACTCATCGGGAGTGAGCTTACGACATTCGAGGTGTGCAAACCAAATTGCATGAAGGTACCATGCGTGTAAAAATCGAGGTACCCCTGAAAATGGGCTGTTTTCCTCTGGTTCCTGTACTTCAACCCCAAAAAGGGCTCAAATGGACAAACCCACAGACCAACTCTGGACCGCCAAAGGTGCCGAAGGACCCAAGGACTTCACCCGTCGAACAGCAGATCGGATTCCCATCGGCAGAGCCCAGTGACCGCTCACACTTGGGGTAGGTGAATTCACCACCCATTTTAGGCTTCCTATCTTAGTGGTTGGATTGGGATACCACCCATTTTGGACCCATAAACAATTGTTTCAACAAGGTTGTATTGAGGGCGAGTCTTTTTTAGTGGTTGGATTGGGATGTTCACTGCGGGTGCGATTTGGATTTTGACCCATGGACAAGTGTTTCAAGGTTGTACTCAACTCAAAGGGCGCACCCGGCGTGATCCGATTTTCCTGCAACACGCGGCTACAAACTTGGAAAGCCCGGCGGGATTTGGCTGTGGGTCAAAACCCTGTACCCCTGGTGAATATCCCAATCCCCACTAAAATAGACTAAAATGAGTGGTGCACCTACCCCAAAATGGTACCATTGGTTTTGACCCACAGCCATTTATACGTCCAAATGCAGCGAAGCCGATCAAGTTGGACAAACACAGGGCCCTTGCCAGCTCGTAAGACGGAATAAAAATGGCGGTTCCCTTGCTTGGCCAGACTTCGGCCCCGCCAAAAGTGCCGTAACCGTTTGCTGGTTAAGTTTAAACGGAGAACCAAGGACACCCAAAGGGCAAAAGGGCAAAAAGGTTTTCCGAAGTCCGGCAATGTTTGGTCTTGGTTGCTGTAACTCCTCCTCCGCAAGAAGTTCTCAAACTTTCGGTGGGTTCAATCAGCTAAAGTCTCTCAAGATCCGTTACCCAGTCTCTTTGTTGCTTTCTGCTCCCCTGCTAAAAGTTTTAAACTTTTCGCGGTTTTGTACGGAAAACCCCATTAGAGATCCAACTCCCCCGATTCTCCTAGTCCGAGAAAGAACAAAAAACAACCACCGCCGCTGAAACGCCGAGCCAAATCCAACCGAAGGAATGGCTGTGGCTCAAAAAAGTGGTACCAAAATGGCACCTTGGTAAATGGAACCAGAGACTAAAACCTGCGTAACCCTAGCTCTTGAATTTTGAGCCACACCCAAATGGCAGCCAATCACGCCCCCGCGCGTTTCAAGTCGATGGCATCCAGGGCGCTTGATGGCGACTGCCTGGCGCGTGGCAATCTCCCGGCTCAGCTTCTCCATGTCCTCGCCGTCAGAAGCGACAAACGACGTCGCCTCTTACCTGGGGTCCTATACTAGGGAGGTTGGAATGGGTTGGTACCAACTTGTTTTTTCTGTAGTCTATTTTAGTTAGGGGAACCCTCCCAACCAAAAAAAAGTGAGAAAGGGCACTACTGAAAGACCTAGTTAATCAAACCCAGACTATTAGTAGGGGGTGCCTCTCTCTGCTGTACTAATGAACTCGGTTGATTTTTATGGGGTCCACACATTACCGCTAGGTGGTTTGGAGGTGGTTGGTTTGGATGAAAGGGGAATGTCATTCATTTGCTTTTCCAGCTCCAGGAAAAATGAGAACATATATCCAGTAGTCATAGATTCCTTGTAAAACCAAGGTTACTAACCTTCCTCATCGGGCTCAAAGGAAGGGTTCAAATCCGAATCACCGCCAAGTACCGACTTGTCTCAGGAAAAACAGCTGGAACAACTCGCAAAACCATCGTTGGCTGCCCTGAGGCTTGACTGCTATTGGGCAACGGATCTTTAGACTTTAACTTTTGTTTGGACAAAAATGTGTTTTTCAACGGCAACCAAGAAGGGGGTCTCTGCTTGGTATATTTCACTCTTAGTCCAGGGGCTCACGACAGCGCCGGAGTTGCCCAGTAAGGCAATCCGTGCCTTGAGTTCGCCGATGATGTCAACCTGAGTTAGGCGGCAAGGGCTTTACTTGTTGTTTTGGTCCAGCTGCAAGTGGAGCAAAAAGCCCCGGATCGAATTGCTAGTATGTTTTTTGAAGGTGCCGCGGCAATTACCCCTTTCAGGTTGCTTTAAAGGGACACACCACTTTAGGGGCCCTCTTTTCACACACACACACACACACTCACACCCGTGTACTGTGGTGGAAAGGACGGCATCTCTGACAGAATTGCACATCCCCTAGCGATCGGAAAAAGTGGCAAGCTGGGGAGACCGTTCCGGTAGACGTTCGTAGGACAGCATGACTTTAAAGACATCCCCAAAAGCAATGGCTGTCTCAAAATTGTCAGCCCTCTTCGCTTTCTGTTGCTAAAAGCAAGCCATGGCGGAATCCAATGCCAAAAAACTACTCACCGCCTGCCCAATTTCTGGATCGCAGCCAAGAGGCGAAATGCCCCCGGGGGGCATCCCAAAGGATGACACCACCCTTGGGTGGGACCGCCTGAGCAGATATGCAGATCCTGGATGTCACAGAGGTTAGTGGCGAGCCTTGTTTACTCAGAACCAGCAACACGTGGAAGTCAACCATCAGTATTGCTGTTGCTCATCATAAGTTCTCATGGGTTCCCATGTTGGACTCCAAATGAATCGAACTTGGGTATGTGTCAAATAGCCTGCGACAGCCGCGGGCCGCAGGGCTCGGGCCCAGCAACTTGTTTTTACCAGAACGGTTACTCAGAACGGTCAAAGTAACGCAGGTTGCCCCAAAAAGACGGGGGGGAAATTCGCCAGTCTTTTTGTGGGACATGTTGGCGAGTTTGCGCAGGTTGACCCAAGAAAAGATGAGGAATTGGCAAGGCTTTGGTTGTGACGGTTCTTTTTTGTGAGTTAGCTATGTCCCTCACAACAACCTACTAGTACCAGGGAGCCATATGGGGGTGCTCTTTTTTGAGGGTACCCTTTTGTGTTAAGAGAAACCAAGAGGAAAACAACAAATTTGGGGGACATCGAGATCAAGCATCGCAAGTCAGTCCCCCCTATTTTGGCAAACAAATCTCATCCCCACCCCTTCACCTCGCCTGATCCTGGCGGAAACCCAGCTGCACCTCCCAGAGAGGCGACACCTGACACCGTTGCGCCGGGCTGCTGAGGAGGTAAACGAGTGAGGTGGCCGGCTACCCACAACCCAAAACGGGCGCCTGGCTTAGGTCCCCTCTTGGACAAACTAAGCTGGCGCTGGATGGTTAAAACCAAGCTGAAACTTGGGAAATGGCCACCTGCAAAGGACACATATTGCACTCTTACAGTTTTCTCAGAGGTTCTGAGCACTGAGAAGGCTCATCGTCCTGGTTGTAGAACAGTCTACAGGAATTTGAGCCAAACCCCCGCCAACCTTTGTTTTCCTGTTTCATGGAAGTTTTCTCGCCAAAGTGACCTTTGTGCTCCTATATTTTCTGGAATAGCAAAAGCCAGAAGCCTTGGCAGAGATCAGGGTTGTGGCAACTTAGCCGTCCCCCCAAAACTTGGCTGTTTCATGAGAGGGGCTCGCGGGCGGTCAGGAAATGGCAACGGCTCTGAGTCTGGCAGCCAATCCTGCTGCCCGCATCAAGTAATATTTGTTACATGTTGATGTTGCCGGCTGAATCCTGTCCATGTCCGCCGACATTTTCGGCGGGCCGGATACTATAAGAGGAAAAAGGCCTCCCCGGCGCACAGGATTTGGGGGGAGGGGGTGCTCTGCTTTTGCGTGAGACTGCATCTTCTCACAATCTCAACTATTTCACTCAGAAAACCGTTGCCAGGATATCCCACGTTCCTCATTCTCCATCTGAGATAGGACACATTTTCTGGATTTGGAAACAAATGCAATGCGACCAACGTGCGCAGGAGTGCGGAGAGATAAAGAAGGCGAGTTCCCCAATAAGACCAAGGCAAGATGGGCTCTTCGAGGATTTCAGCATCGACAGAAGGATGAACAAACATGTAATTCGCCCAGCACCTTCACGAAGTGGTTTCCGACTTGCAACACAAGCCGCAGCAAACACAGGGTGGAACATCTTCACATGGATCTCAAGACCGCTTTCGCACAGGGAGAGGCTTGCGATCAAACACGAGATCTTGTGAGTCAAATACCTCCTCAAATGGGGTCCCCATCATTTGGCTGTGGATCAAGAAACCGGGACCCAAAATGGGTTGCCCTGGATGGAACCAAGTCCAATTCCTGGTGGTTAACGTTTGCCCCATACCCATTTATCGGCGCAGAGGAAACCCCCATACGGCCTCAAAGATGTCCCGAGATGATCAAAGGGAGTAACGACACGCGCAGATCGATGTACAGATGGGTGTGGCTCAAAATTAAACATCGGGGGCAACCCGCGCGTTTTGGTCCATGTTTCCACTTACCAGGGCAATCCATTTTTGGTACCGGTTTCTTGAGCCACAGCCAGATGTCTCGACAACCACTGAGAGGAAAACGGCTCACTGGAAGGAGCAGTTGACCATCTCACATGGATCCCGTCGAAACCCCTGATGTTTGAGTTGCGGATGAAATCACTGGGCATGACAGCCCCTTTTTGGCCGAAGAAGGAAAATAGCCTGCAGTTAGTTGAGTGGGTTATGAGCCCAACGTTTTTCCTGTAGGCCCTCCTAAGGGCACGCCATGGCATCCTCGGCTGGGTCGGCGCAGACCGCTGACTCGCCGGAGACGGCGATGGTGCCGTGGCAGCCAAGCCGCGAGGACGCGGTGCCGCTGGGGCCGGCGGTGGCGGTGAATCCTTTTTGGTCAGAGAAGGCCAAGGAGGAAGCGCAGCTCAAGGCGCTTCGCCCGAAGGATCTGCCGGAGGTGGAGGAGGAACAAGGGTCGCTGGTAAGCCCGGGAGCGCTGCCGGTGGGCTCGATCTACAGCGCGGAGATCCCGGCGGGTGGCCTTGATGAGCTCCTCGGTGCCTTCAAGCAGGTCATCACGCAGAACCAGGCGCTCTGGCAAGAGATGAAAAGCCTCAAGGAGCAGGTGCGTGAAGGCGGTGGAAGCAAGGCCATGAAGGAGTTGGGGGATGCACCACGTGGTCCTGAGATGGGGCCTGGGGTGGACGCGCCTCGTGCTGCTCCGGGAGGTGGTGATCTGTTGGGTCTTCCGGGAGGAGGTGGAGTTGGCGGACCTTTGGTGCTGCGAGCAAGACAAGGAGGACCTGGAGATCAGAGCGGGTACCAAACCCCAACGGCGCTGGCGGGAGCCTATGGTGGTGCACCGCCTGGAGGAGGACCTCGGGAGCGTCGAGCAGATGATGGTCCTGGAGGGCTTCATCCTGAACAACCTCAAGGGGGAGAACCTGGTCGTGGAGGTGCGCATCGCGGAGGTGGGCAAGGACCAGGAGATCCTTCTGAAGGAGCGCTACTACCTGGCTATGGAAACGGGTGGGTCACTGGACGTCAGGATGCGGGTCTTCGAGGTGAGGGCCAGCCACCTGGGCACGAAGGAGGTGGGTTTGGTGCGGCTGGTCGTCATGCAGATCAGCATCTACCCGGCGGAGGGTTTCATGGAGGGTGGCCCTATGGCGCTGGTGGACCCGGAGGTCCCGGTGGAAGTGCGGCGGCCATGAATCCGTGGATGGGAGGATGGACGCCTGGAGAAACCGTTCGCACGGTGGAGTTGCCGGCATTGGGTGAGGTGAAGGAAGGCGAGCTCGGGTCATTGGTGGTGGGGGATTGGCTGATGTTGATCAGCCCGGTGATGAAGGACCTCACTGTCAGTTCCGGAGCATGGTGGGATCAGGTGCTTGCAGTGGCGGCAGAGGCCTACGCGCAGTGGTTGCAGGCGGATCCTTTGCAGCGGCTTCACATCAGGCCGCGGGCGGTGGAAGATGAAGGTGGTCGTTGGAGTCGGGTGGCTCAGCGGGCACAGGCCATGTTGGTGGCTGCTTTGCCACCAGGGTTGAAAGCGGAGGTGCTTGCGGAGCGAGCTGCAACGGCCTGGGAGATTCTGTTCCGGGTGTTTACAAGGTACCAGCCAGGAGGGCTGGCGGAGAGATCACAACTCCTCAGAGGCTTGGTTGAGCCGCGGGTGCCAACGACGCTGAGTGAGGTGGTGGATGGGGTGAGGACGTGGAAAAGGTGGCTTGCCCGGACCCGTGAGCTGAAGGTGGCGATTCCGGATGCTACGTTGCTGGTTGGAGCCCTGGATCGGTTCGTCGGGATGGTCACGAAGCATTCTGGCCAGGCGATGTTCAGATTGAATGCGGCACGAGCTGGACTGCGGGTGGACGTGGCTCCCAGTTTGGAGGCGGTGGCGCAGCTGGCGGACGTCGTCCTGGCGGAAGGAGAAGCAGCACTACACGGAGCTTCGACCTCATCTACTACAACCGCAAAGGTCAAGGCGCTGGTGACCAAGGATGGAGGAGGTTGGGAAAAGGGGAAGGACAGCCCAAAAGGAGGAGGGAAAGGCAAGGGCAAGGATGCTTCGGCGGCTCCTGTGTGCCGGTTCTTCCTCACGGATGGGGGCTGCAAGAAGGGAGCGGATTGCACCTACAAGCATGAGTTCGACGGGGACAAGCGTGGACGCTGTTGGAATTGCGGAGGGACTTCGCATACCCGCAAGGACTGCCCGGTGAAGGTGCGAAAGCCTCGCGATGGAGATGGCGGAGCCAAGAACTTCAGCGAGAACGATGTGAAGGGCCAGGCCGTGAAGAAGGTCGAGGTGGATGCATCGGCGCCTACTACCGGTGGAGGAGAAGGATCGCCCGCGTCAGGGGCAGGGAAGACATCACAGTCAGATGGAAGTGATGGTGAAGCAGTGCGGGGACTCATTCAGGAAGCAGCGGGATTGCTGAAGAGCTTGAGGGGCCCTGAGTTGAGGAGGATTCAAGTGAGCTCCCTGGAGGTTAAGAACAAGAGGGCGCTGCTGGATGGAGGAGCGACGCACAGCCTGAGGCAGTGTGTATCTGCACAAGAGTGGGAGGAGGCTCGGGAGGTCGAGGTGCATTTGGCGCAGGGGACGGTCTCTTTGCGGCTCATCCCGTGGACGAGGACGTTGCTGACCACAGAGGAGGTCCAGCCCATCGTTCCCCTGGGGTACCTGGTGCAGAGGGGCTACTCGGTGAAGTGGGAAGAGGACCGCTTTCAGCTGACCGATCAGCATGGGCGGACTCTGGACACCGCTTTGGAAGGAGGCTGCCCCACGGTAGATGAAAGCCTCGGGTTGGAGCTCATCAAGGAGTTGGAGCTGGAGGCGCTGAAGCACCAGATGCGGTTGATGGCGTTGAGAGGGAAGCCGTTGACGACGCAGGAGGAGGAGAAGGTTGGCCTGGAGATGGTCAAATGGCTTCGGAGGCTGAGGGAGCTATTTCCTGAAGTGCCGGAACGCATTCTGGAGCGGCTGCCCCCGAGGTCGGAGTGGACGAGTTTGCCGTGGAATAGGCGGACCAGGAGGAGGATTCAGAAGGCCAAGGAGGTCATCCTCCACCTTTATTCGGGCCCGGACGCGAAGTTCTGGGAGAAGGAGTTGGAGACAGCAGACAGAGTGGTGCTTTGCATTGATCTGGAGCTGGGAGAAGGCCAGGACGTTGGGAAGGACGGCGTGATGGCCTATCTGATGGAGCTGTGTGCTTCGGGAAAGGTGAAGCAGATCTTGGCGGGCCCTCCGTGTCGGACTATCTCAAGGATGAGGTTTGTGCAGCCGGGACCGCCACCGTTAAGGACGAGAGATGGAGAAGAGCGCTTTGGGCGTCATGGACTTCCTCAGGTGCTGATGGACAAGGTGGATGGAGATACGGTGCTCTGGTTGAGGCCGATGCTGCTGTACATGGTGACGGAGGAGGCCAGTTCGTCCAAGGTTGGCTTCCTGGCGGAGAATCCACAGGATCCGGAGTCCTATGTGGAAGGAGGTCAAAGAGCCGCAGAAGCTCGGGAGCGGTATCCTTCGTACTGGGCTTGGGACGAGTGGAAACGGTTCAAGAAGGCCTACAAGATGAAGGAGTACCACTTCGATCAGGGGCCCTTTGGCCACGCAAAGACGAAGCCTACGACGATAGGCACCAACATGGAGATGCTCGAGCAGCTGGACGGTGTTCGAGGAGGAGGATCTGATAAAGGTCCGCTGGGAAAGACCTTGGAGGAGCGGATGGCGGCT